GTTACAGTCCTATGCTCGCCAATACCGAAAAAAACCTGCTTACTCATTACCTTTTTTGGAAATAAGGAGCAATGTCGATAATATTTCCAGTTCAATATACCATCTAAAAGTTCGGCCAGGAGCTTCTGGTTCGGCGTAGAATGAGTTAGAGGAGCTCAGGCTTGGCTGCGCTTTTCAATGCTGGCGATAGGCTTACCGCGCCAGAAAAGGGGTATACGATCAATCCGAATAACAAAATTCATGAAACTGTAATTGTGGCCCAGATTTCATGTTCAAGGTCAGCAAAACTAAAATAAAACGAGAACTGGACAAAAAATATCGTGGCCTAGAGTAGTTACTAAGAACCCTAGCTATCCAGTATACATTACAGAAGGAAATCTAGTTACTTTGTCTTTGCGATTTGGTTCACGAAATTCACCGCTAAGTTTACCCATGTAAAAAGGCTCCTTTATCAAGTTTAATTTTCTGGATTAAGGCCGTTGCCATGGCAACGTCGCATCCTTAAACAGGCAGTAATTTTGTCATTTTTGATCATTTTTTCTTAATATTTCTTATTTCCCTCGGTGAAATGTCTTTAAACTTTGCCACTTTATGTTAACGATGTTGCTTAAAATTTTAAAGTGGAAAAAACATGGGGTTAAGACGGTTTCGCCACTTCATTTGAAATTTGTAACTTTTCTTAATAGAGGAGTTTAGCTGTTACAGATTTGAACAAGAAAAGGACAGTACAAATGTACTGCCACTTTTAGGAAATGAGGCGATTTTCAAAAAAATTTATCGCTTCATCAGCAGTCTCGTAGTATCGCAAAAGAGATTGGAGACAGAGGTGCAGAAGGGGCAGTATATGGCAACCTTGGCAAATGGGATAGGAGGCAATAAGTATGGCTCTCTCGGTGATTATAAAAAAGAAATCGAATTTCAGCGGCAATCTCTTAGTATCGCGAAAGAGATTGGAAACAAAAAGGTTCAGAACGCAAAGCATATACCAACCTTGGTCATGACGCATACGAATGTCCCGGTCATTACAGAGGAGCAATCGAGTTTCATCAGCAGTCCCTCTGTTCGTACCGCAAAAGAGATTGGAGAAAAAGGTTAAGAAGAAAAAGCATATGCAACTTCGGCATTGCGTATCACTCTCTCGGTGATTATAAAAAAGCAATCGAATTTCATCAGCAGTCTCTTAGTATCGCAAAAGAGATAGGAGAAAAAGGTTCAGAAGGTACAGCATATACCTTGGCATTGCGTATTACTCTCTCGGTGTTTATAAAAAAGCAGTCGAATTTCATCAGCAGTCTCTTAGTATCGCAAAAGAGATAAGAGAAAAAGGTTCAGAAGGTACAGCATATACCTTGGCATTGCGTATTACTCTCTCGGTGTTTATAAAAAAGAAGTCGAATTTTATCAGCAGTCTCTTAGTATCGCAAAAGGCATAGGAGAAAAAGGTTCAGAAGGTACAGCATATACCTTGGTATTGCGTATTACTGTCTCGGTGTTTATAAAAAAGTCCCTAGGATTGTCACAATTAATTTATTCAGCTTCAATTCTTAATGTTCCCGAAGATATCGCAAGCACAGTGAAAACAAAGTTTTTTAGTTTCTTATGGAAAAACAAAAGGGATAAAATTAAACGAACTGGGCTCTATCAGGATCTGGGAAGAGGCGGAATACGTATGGTAGACATCGACATAATGTTTAAAGCTCTAAAACTAGCCTGGATTCCAAGATTACTGACTCCAGGGAACCAGAATTGGAAAACAGTTCCTGATTATTACCTAAGAAAATTCGGAGGTTTGAACTTTTTACTGAGATGTAACTACGATGCGAAATACATAAATCTATTCCATTGTTTTACCGAAATATTCTAGTATACTTCAGTGAGTTAAAAACTCTGTACAACTTTGATCAAGCACAAAATATAATTCTATTCAACAACAAAGAAATACTTGTTGACAGTAAAACCTTTTTTATCAGGGAATGGTTTAAAAAAGGTATCCTGTCAATACAAGATCTCTTACACAATACCGGTCAACCGATGACCTATCAGGAATTTACGAATAAGTATTCCTGTAAAACTAACTTCCTTCAATACTATCAAGTTATTAGCGCTATCCCAAAGCACCTATTAGCCAAAGCAAAATCAACGAAGCCAATTAATAAAGAGTTATATTCTGATAATAATCTTAGTCTACAATTAAATGAATCGATAACTCTATATCCGAACAAAATCAAGACTAGCGACTTCTATACGTTATTATGCACAAAAATCCACACAACAGGTCATTCTGGGCCACAGAGATGGAGTAAAGATCTTTCCTTGGATGAAGATAAATGGGAAAAAATATTCACCTCCCTAAAAACCGTCTGTAGAGAGACCAAATTAAAGGAATTTCAATATAAATTAATCCACCGAATTGTAGTCACCAAAAAGGAACTTTACCGCTATGGAATCAAGGAAGATGATGAATGTATATATTGTGGTGAAAAAGACTCTATTAATCATACTTTTAGAGATTGTCATTTCGTCAAGATTTTCATTCAACGGGTTATCAACTGGTTCAATATAGAAAACAAGATCAATCTCAACCCATCTAGCGAAGAAAGACTGTTCGGCATCCTCTCGGACTTACATGAAAAGGTACTAGTAAGGAAATTCAATTATACCATGTTGTTTATGAGATACTACATCTACGCCAACAAACTACACAACAAACCAATTCTCCTCCAAGACTTCGTTGGTAAAATGATAATTAAATACAGAATTGAAAAGCTATAAAATAGACATGAAAAGTAACTCCTCTGACCTTTTTTTTTTGTGTGTGTGTGTTTATGTGGGAGTGTGTGTGTGTGTGATGTACTAGAATTGTAAGTAGTGTAACCATTGTAATTATTAGTAGTACGAGCATCGTATGGATGGTATTGTCAGTATAGCCAATATTGTAAATAGTGCAAGTATAGTGAATATTGTTAGTAGTATTTAGTTTCAGTAGTGTTTAGTACTGTAAACATTTAATATATGTCTGTAAGGCAAAAATAAATAAATAAAAAAAAATAAAAATAAAAATAAAAAAAAAGCAGTCGAATTTCATCAGCGGTCTGTTAGTATCGCCAAAGAGATAAGAGAAAAAGGTTTAGAAGGTACAGCATATACCAACCTTGTTATTTCGTATTACTTTCTCGGTAATTCTAAAAAAGCAATCGAATTTCACCAGCAGTCTCTTAGTATCGCAAAAGAGATTGGACAAAAAAGGTAAGCAAGGGGCAGCAGTATCCCAACCTTGGCACTGTGTATGACTCACTCGGTAATTATAAAAAGCAATCGAATTTCATCAGCAGTCTCTTAGTATTGCAAAAAAGATAGGAGAAAAAGGTTTAGAAGATACAGCATATACCAACCTTGGCATTGCGTATCACTCTCTCGGTGTTTATAAAAAAGCAATCGAATTTCATCAGCAGTCTCTTAGTATCGCAAGAGAGATAGGAACCTTGCTGTGCGTATAACTCTCTCTGTGATTATAAAAAAGCAATCGAATTTCATCAGCAGTGTCTTAGTATCGCAAAAAAGATAGGAGAAAAAGGTTTAGAAGATACAGCATATACCAACCTTGGCATTGCGTATCACTCTCTCGGTGTTTATAAAAAAGCAATCGAATTTCATCAGCTGTCTGTTAGTATCGCCAAAGAGATAAGAGAAAAAGGTTTAGAAGGTACAGCATATACCAACCTTGTTATTTCGTATAACTTTCTCGGTGATTATAAAAAAGCAGTCGAATTTCATCAGCAGTCTCTTAGTATCGCAAAAGGCATAGGGGAAAAAGGTTCAGAAGGTACAGCATATACCTTGGCATTGCGTATTACTCTCTCGGTGTCAGAAACAGTAACATTGCTTCCTTTAGGGTTAGTGTACTTATTTATTTGGTTTTTTTTGTAAAGTTTCCATTCACCATTTACTTCGACTATTTTACCGTTGTCTACTTTTGAAGCGAAAGAATTGATGTCTTTGGAAAATTTCTGCTTCGTTTTTACATACAATTAACTCGTATGGAGATCTGTTGTGACTTGTAACCAGTGTAATTTAACATTGTCTCCTCTCATAAATGTTTGACCTACACTAATCAAACTTTTTGCCCACTGAGCTTCAACAGAAAGTTAATAAAGTTTTTTGGGGGGAATATTTCGAAACAAAGAGGCCATGTTTGTTTTATTTTTGGCTGGACGTCGCGCGGATTTTAAAGCTCGCGCCATACTAGTGCTCAGGCTGCGCACGGCCAATTTACTCTAGGGAGCTAATTTTTTGGCCAATTATAAGTTAACTACTGTTTTTTGCTCAAATTTCAGTTAACTGCTAACCCCATTGGCACCCTCGGAAACCCTCGAGTAAGTATTCCCCACAAAGAAACTTGTCGGTAGGTAGGAGACTGGGTACCAATTTCTCGAATACAAATCCCATCATGCTCTTAAGGAAGCTCTCTTTGGCTGCCATCATGGTAGGTGATCGTGAATGTTAAGAAATGGGGAACAGAATCCACCATCATCTCTGTGTCTGAGCCGTATTTGACACTCTCGTATCACACGTTATAATATAATAATTTTGAGGAAATGTACTGTGTAATTATTTTGAGGGTTTGCTTGTGATAAAGGGTGTAACATCGCTTTAGAAATACCGCATACTCACATCTAAATCAGCTTTGCAGCGATTACAGGAACACTTTCGTAGATTCTCAAGCAGGATTGACTCCTTAGAATTTATTGTAAAATGCAACGGGATAAACGCTTATGTGTATTTATTTCTGAACAGCAAGATGACTTAACGATTGTTTTCTCGGGAACTTTTTAACATGACGCTTGAACAGCGACTGGTATAAAAATGATCGGTCTTTAATGCAAAAGCTTACCTTAAGATTTTAATCGTTTATCTTTGTTGTAACTGTCATATTTAAAGCTAAGATATTTTGCTTCCCTAAGTCTTCTTTGCCATGGCCTCAACTAAATGTGCTTAGGTGTTGTCACCATAACATTTACTTCGTTTCACAGGCCCTAGTTGTTCCTGAGAAGTTTCAACACATTCTGCGTGTTCTCAACACCAACATAGATGGAAAACAAAAAATTATGTTTGCTTTGACCGCAATCAAGGTCAGTAGAAAGAGTAGTTATTTCCAATTTATTTCGTGTACTATTAGAATTATGTTATTGGAGTGAAACCCCTCTGTCGAAAATTTTTGGTTCTGATTTGAAGAAAGATGGTTTGTATGTCATGTTGATGTCAAGTGTGATGTGTGCGAGTACAGTTAAACCTGTATTAAGCAGTCACCCTAACGGATTGGCCAACTGAGTTGCAGTGATACACAACAGCCGAGATTCCAACCCTATGTGATGGAAAATAGGGAGTAATTATTAGCGCCGAAGGCGCGAGCTTCTAGGGGGGTCCGGGGGCATGCCCCCCCCAGGAAATTTTGCAAATTTCGGTTCTCTCAAGTGCCATTTCCTGAATTTTGACATCATTCCGGCCTGAGTTATAACATACCATAATGCTCTTCGCGAAGAAAGTAAGTATAATATGAGTGTTTCACAGTGACAGATTGCCAAAAATTCTAAAGATTACCAATTTTTCCCTAGTTTTCAGAATTTTATAATAAATCGGGAGAATTTGGTAAAAATCGGGAGAGCGGGAGGCAAGACATCAATTGGTTGGAATCTCTGCAACAGTGCATTGGTAAACGGTGATATTTCTTTTGATGATACATATTGATATTAACTTTGGGTGTTCCCTGGTGTTGTGGAAACTATTGTTGGTTAGCTCTTGTTTTGTGGTGTGAGTATTGATCATTGTCTTTTCAATTCGTTGTTTTACATCATTTGGGGATTACACCTGTCCACAACACCAAGAAACTGTGTTAATTTTGAACAAGTAATCAGGAAAGAAAATATCCAAACAAATATGCTATGTTGACAAATTTGTGAAATCCCTGCCTTACATATTCCTCTCCCAAGCTCTGCATATTTATAGTCTTTGCAAGGTGCTTTATGGTGAAAAAGCAAACTATCCCTGGCTCATGTGCTTCTTGTCTTATTCAAAGTGGGAGAAAAGAAGAGAAATAAATGCATGCATAGTTATGTCACTTGTTAGTTGTAAGTTGTACAGTCATGTGTGTCCACAGGCAAAACATGCTGTCGGTTGAACTTCACAATTGGTCACTATGCTCATCGCACACAGCAGTGTATCATATTAGGGCCATTTATTAGGTTCATTTATATTTATTTTCCTTACAAACGGTACATTTCGTCTAAAGTAAGACGCGGCTTAGCTAAGGTGCGTCTCATTTTAGAACAGCCCTTAACACCTGTTCTTAGATAAGACGAGAAAAACTTCGTATAAATGACCTTCGCGTCTTACATAGGATGCGAATGCATAGTACGCGTACGTTAATTTTTGACGTGTCTTATTTTTCCTCGTATAAATGGCCCTATTTACTATATCGTGTCCTGTTTCTTGCAATTTATATTAAATTGTGGTAAAATAGAGAGCTTTACATTTTAGGGAGCGGGATGACTACAAGGACAACATTGAACCTAAAGTTTTTTTTGTGTGCGTTCCCTAGAAATGGACACCCCAGAAAGCTTTATTTTACTTCTTTTCACCACAATAGTTAGAATGCTTATTTCTATTGAAGTCAGCTAGGCCTTCTCCTGATTGCTGCACAATAAAATTTCTAAGATTTGTTAAATTGTTTTCACCACTACAACATTCTTGCTAAAACTCATGGTAGAATGACAATGGCTATCACATTTTCCTGCCAAGATGCTGTCGGTTCAGCTGCGTGTACTAAACTTAGTGTTGGGAAAATCTTGTACTCTTAGAGGGGCATCCAACGAGGATATAGTTCAAAACCACTTAACATAGCATTGTTGAACATATTTTAGTATTTAAATGGTAGATATAGGTATATTTTTATCCCCTAAAAACTTTTCATCTGTTTGGATTTCCTAGCTGAAAGTCTACTGATCCGAAAATTATAGGGATCAAAACTTACCTTTTCGAAAATTTCAGCCAGGAAAAGGCTCCCGAAAATTCTAGGTGGCCTTTTTTAGGGTAAATATCCGTTTAAAATGGGTAATTATACCATTTTGTAGATGTTCGAAAATCCTAGGAGAGGCAGGCAAGCAAGAAATTTTACAACAAATGTTCCGAAAATTCCAGTTCTCAAATCGTCTTCCGAACAGATTTTTTTCCCGAAACTTGCCGTTGGGTGCCCCTGCTCTTAGTCTTCCTCCTCTTAGTAGCTAAAGGGATCTAACATAACATTGCAGCCCTGCCAGGAAGTAGTTGATTTACATATACATGTACCGACCCAAGATAGTTGAAGTGTAAAGTTCCTGTTAAATTCACAGTAATGTGGGCATCAAACATGTATTTACTTTATTTCCAGGGCGTGGGACGGAGGTATGCCAACCTTGTTTGCAAGAAGGCTGATGTTGATATGAAAAAACGTGCAGGAGAACTTACAGATGATGAGGTAACATGCATGATTTAATGATCATGTACCAGCAACAAGCCATTGAAATATTGCGTCAACATAATTATTTTCTTTGAAATCTTCGAGCAATAAAAGTTTCCTTTCTCATTTATTTTGGTGCTGCAAGCATTGACCATTATGATGCACTATTTTTTCTCTGACAGGTGGAGCGTGTCATTACTATAATGCAGAATCCACGGCAGTACAAAATCCCTGATTGGTTCCTTAACAGGCAGAAGGACATCAGAGATGGCAAATACTCACAGGTATAGAAATTAATATGAAAAATTGGAGCAACCCTCCAAGTTGCTACCATTTTAGGCAGCATAGTCACTTAAATTTAAATACAAGTGAAGTTTAGCCTGTGTTGTAGATGTACAGTACTATCGTCTAACCTTGGTTATATGCAGTAGTGTCTGTGAAGCAGCACCAAGATCTTTGTTCTGGGCTCCCTAAGGACTTGGTGAATTACCAGAAGTACATTTTGAGTTTTCTTTCAAACTCATTGGCAAATCGAATCAAATCATGGCATGCACTTAAATCTTGGTACACAGTTGGAGCCCATTAAAAGTATTTTAGGGCTGTTTCGTGGATGGACATAACCATGAATTAATAATTTTAGTTTTGTGTGTGGCGCAGGCTCAGAAAGTTATTCTGAAACATGAAAAACGTGAATTCTAATTGATCAGAGGAGTGTGACGTCAATAATTATTATTATTCTGGATTTTTCTACTAATTCGAGCACTTAACAAAATCCAAAAGCATAGCTTTTTGAAATACACGTCAATGAAACCTGACCTGAAACTTGCAGTTTTGTACTGCTCTACTGAGTCTTTCGCCCAGCACGTGATGCATGACAAGTTGCATGCAATCAAATTACAGTAAACTTTGCTTGTTGTTTTCTTCAAAAACTAAGAAATGCATGTGACAGTGGCCAATCTCTGTAGGTACATCTGTAGTCTTTTTAACTGGACTACACATTTTATATACATGTATTTGGCATTCACATGTAGAGGGAACTAACAACTGTAGACTTAAGTAACATGAAAGCAACGCAGTTGAACATTTAGTAACTAAAAACTATCAGCATTTTGAGTTACTGTAATTATTGTTAGAGATGATAAAGTAAAAAAATGGTTGTTATCTCTCGAGTGGTATTATGGTTCATGTTTCTTTCAGTGAATTGTAAAGCAAGTTTAGATTACCAAAAGTTTATGGGAAAATATCTTTCACAAGATACATTTATAACAAAATTGTTTGGGTGCAAATGAACTGATAAGAAATCTGTTACATTAAACAGATATTGTTTTGGCTGTATATCCTGGCACTTTAAATTAATTCCAAAAAAATTTTAACTTGGAAGGTTGTGATGTAGTTATTTTTAAATGATTTCATAAACTGCGCTAAACATTGCAATGCCTTGTTGCCTTTAGATACTTGCTAACAATCTTGAAAGCAAGCTTCGTGAGGATCTTGAGAGACTGAAGAAGATCCGTGCTCATCGTGGTCTTCGTCATTACTGGGGGTAATTATCTTCTCATTATTTGTATTTTAAATGAAATGATATTATGTGTGGAGAGAAGAACAGAGAAAAAAATTCTGAGTTCCAGATGGGAATTGAACCCACAACCTCCTGTGCACTAGTCGGATGCTCTAACCACATTTTGCCACAGCATTTTTAAACTTTTTAGCGGAGTTGTCACTAAGATTTCACGTTGCCGGGTAAATGCAACATGTAGGCATGGAATCGAATAGCTGAGGATTTATTTTGGTTTTATTTTTCTTCTATTTTCCAATGAACATAGCCAGGGGAAATCCCTTGTCCTCGGCTCTTAATGACAGCCCCTGATAGAGTAACTTTTACATATTGTACACTGCAGCATCTGAGATCTAAATATTCTTCACATCATATGAAAGCCAAATTCAGTAATTGTTCTATTATTCAAAATGTTTCTTAATTCTTTACCGCCTTGCTGCCTTGCCGCCTTGCCTCAAACATTTGTCTGATTCTCATAACCATAATTTTACCTTTTTTTCAGTCTGCGTGTGCGAGGACAGCACACGAAGACCACTGGTCGCAAGGGCAGAACTGTTGGTGTTGCCAAGAAGAAGAACTAAATTGTTACCACCATTGTGCTAAATGTAATAAAGAGCAGCATGAACATAACACTTGAGAATATGTTTGATATTTGTATGAAAGTGAACATGATCTTGATTCTTCACAGTTGAATGAACAACCTAAGCAGATGAAAATTCAGGCTTGACTGGGAAGCAAACCCTGACCTTTGGGATGACTGGACACAATGCTCTATCCATTGAGCTAAGCCAACTGGAGAGCAGGCCATTGTGAGGCCATTTTTCAACCGTTTAGGCTAAACTGCCAAGATCATGTTCACTTTCATATCTTTAACTGCGGTTCAAAATTAATATGGTTCATTTCATATATTTCAATTCTTTGATATTTTTGTTGAAACAATCAGCATTTTGAACAAGTTCAAATATTTGAGTTGTTAAGACCTGGAACCCTCTTTACCTCGTGCCCCGTTTTGACATTCCACTTGCAATACCACATGGAGGTGTGTTCAAACATGTATTAGACCTTAATTGGCCACTCCATGAACTGCAGGGAGGTTGGAGGCAAGCTTTGGTAGCCTGCGAGCAAGCTCTCCATGTAGGGGAGTTGTGAGAAGTCACATGAGAGCAGCACCCAAAAGGAGATGCAAGGTAAAAGGAGAGCTTGCTAGCAGGTGAAAGCTTTTGGTTGCAACAACCTCTGGGATTGTCTGAGTGAACAAGCATTTGCTATGATTGGCTGATGACATCCAGAGTCAACCTGTTATTGATTATACTGAATGCCTTTATGGTGAGAAATCTTTGTGCCAAACGTTTGTACCCATTCCCATTCAAAATGTGTGAAAACACCGCTCAACCTCTGCAGAAAAAAGAAGGGAACTGGGTCGAGTTTCGCGCTGGCTTTTTTTCCTGTTGGTCGCTGAATCCGCGTGAACATGGAAAAACTATTTTAAGGTCGACTTGTGTTAAAATAGTATCAAGACGGCGGCAACAGTCCGGCTAACAGGCGTAGAGTCCCTTTCAAAGCGTTTAAAAAGAATTTCAGTCTAAAGAGGTTTTCGTCTTTTCCTCAAGCGCTTTTTTCCTGTTGGTCCAATCAATGCCAACACCCATTTGTCAGCTAAAAGCAAGCGTGCCAACACCCGTAAAAGCAAGCGTGCGTAAAATACGACCGCATATTTGGTAGCCTGTTCCAAGCTCCGAGATAGTGGTGAAAAGTCGTTCAGTCAAAAGAAATGCGCAAAACGCGCGGGGGCTGGGCGCCACCGTCCCCTTTCCCAACCACTGACAATGGTGGAAGAACCGAACAGAGTAGCCTTAACTAAAACTGGGCCTAGCGCTTGATTACAGATTTCTACCATTTCGCTGAACTTTTCATGCACCAAACCTGGTGCTTAAAAAATCTGGCATTTTTATCTGGAGTTCGAGTAGCCTGTTCCAGGCTCCGAGATAGTCAGGTCCGCTGAATTGAGAAAGCGCAAACACGAAAATAAAACGGGAAGGAACTGGGGAGAGCGGGGGCGGCGGAGGCTCTCTCTCCCTTCCTTTTTCCTGCCCCGCCAACTTTTCGCGTGCCTTTTTCTTTCGCGTCTTCCCCACCATCTGAGAGCCTGGAACAGGCTACAGTTCGAGAGTCTGCAATTCGGCCGTGTTTTACCCCCTTGGTAAGGTATTCTAAACCTGTAGCTTGTCTATGATACTGGTGCCTCTGTCCTCTGGGGTCTGTCTTCAGATTGTAGGGAGTTTTAGCAACGAGAACGGCGACGGTAACGATAGCCTGCGAGCAAAGCTTTCCATTTGGGGGAGTCGCGAGAAGTCACGCGAGAACCGCTTGCTCGCAGGCTACAGCCAGTACAGCAAGGAGAACGTCAGAAAAACAATAGGTTTACAGAGCATGAGCCGTATAATGTACTCGAAAACCCTTTTCTTCTGTTTCGAAAACCTGTGTCTTAGATGCATAATCTTTAGGAAGCAAATTTTCAACCAATCAGAAGCACTACCAAGACCTGGGTAGTGACATATGTCATCAGTATGGAATTTTTCCGCTCGTTTCTCAGACATCATTTCGCGGGAAGACCAGTGGTGGCCTCGCCAAATGTCGGCTGTATTCTCAGACTATTTAAAAAGCCACAAAAACAAGTTCTTAAAAAACGATAAAATTTATTTCTCAGGCACTGGACAATTCCGAAAAAATTAAATAAAACTTTTGCTCAGTGTAATAATTAGTACTGCTAGCTTTTGTCCAAGGATGTAATCTGTAACATAACAACAACAATCATAGGCTTGTATTGTTTGGTTTATTTTGCCCTGGATTGAAATCTATCCAGAGCGGATTTCTTTTCAAGGAATCTACTTTCATTCATTTGATTAGCTCTCGTTTCTTTTCGCTTGTCCTGTATGGCTTGTCTTACTTCCACCTGTGTCAAGACAAAAAATATCATGTTGATACTTATCACTCCGCCTAGAAATGATGGAAAAACTAGTCTCCTCTCTATTTAGTACAGCTTATTTTTAAAATTACTTGAACATTTAATTAATCATTTTCCCAAACTTTCCAAGGCCTAAGACAAATGTCGAACTCTAATTTGGGTCGACCTAAATAAAATAAAGTTTAAGATCGTCTGTTGGGTCAGATGTCGAACTTAGGACGCGTCGAACCATACAACTGAATAGGACCACAACGCAATTTTAGTATTTTTTTTTTCCCGAACGGCGCTAAACATAGTTATCATACAATTTTTTTAATTCATTAGTTTAGTTCGTCGCATGTGAAGATCGACGCGTGTCCCGAAGACGATCCACACTCATTCAGACGAACTAATCTGAGCCAGACCTCGAACTTTTCACGAACTTAACTCAACATTAAGTTTGGTTCGTCTCATGAAAAGTTCGACGTTTGGCCTAGGCAAAAGATGAGAAACGTTTTGAGCTGCTTCACTTGTTATTTTTAGAAAACTTTCTTCAGTTACAGAATTTCCTCTCAACGCAACGCTTTGTTTTGGTTAGTTTTTCTGCGTTCACGACACACACTGATTTCACTTGTGACATATAAACATCTGACCTTGCGCAAAATTCATTTCGTCGTATTGCGGCACCTTTACATGGACAGCCAATGTCAGGCAAATTATCAGTGGCGGATTCAGGGGAGGGGCCCGCCCCGCCCCACCCCTCCCCTCCCCACCCCCTTATTTTTAGACCAACCGGACGCCCGAAAGGCCGAAACAATTTTTTTTGACAGGTGACGCACATCAAAAATCACCGACGACGACTGGGAACGAGGCTGGTTTAAAATTCAAATTGGTTTACAAGTTTCCCTCGGGTGAACAAAGAGAAAATATTTAACTATTTCGGTGGTTTCTTGGTGTGAGACAAATTGTCAGGTAAAATTGAAAAGGTGGAACAAAAAATTGGTCAAAAGTAACCAATAGTTTAACAAGAAAACCCAATTTTAGGAACAAATTGTCAGAGTAAAATCATTCCAAAAAAAATCGTCCCATACCGTTTTGTAACCAGATAGAGAATCATGCTAAAAAAATTTGAGCTCAAAAAATCAATTGCTTACCCGTTTCGTTTCTTCTTGATGACCTTTCTTTCGAAGATGTTGCTTCTTTGACGAGCTCCGGCCTTTTGTTTTGAATTTTGGTTCAAACTTCTCCTTGGAACTGGATTCCTGCAAATGGATAAAACAAAAGACACCTTTGCTTGAAAACGTTGACTCACAATAAGACGATAATAAGCCATTTCCTAGTTGCCTCAAGCAGTCTGTTTCAAAGCGAGACTAAGGGCGAAGCCATTGATATGAAATAGATTTTTTCATTCTCATGCAAATAAAACTCATTTAAAGAAAGGTTTTGCACTTAGCTTCGTTTTGAAATTGAAGGTTTTTATTTGGCCTATTAATACATTTCGTGGTAACACGGGATAAACAACGTCTTTTTTTTTGGAAATGATAAACAGACACGATGACTAAGAGATTAAGCATCACGTTTACCGCAAACGGCAGACGGAAAATGGCAGTGGTACTAACTAAACAGACTGTGGCGGATTGGTATCCATACTCCAGCACTGATTTTTAAAATAAAACTGCACCAGTTTATTAGAACCTCTTCCAGCTCGCTTTAACCACCTAGGAAAATAGAGGCGTTCAGCTGCCTTTTTTGTTTTTGTTACTACAAGATGGTTCCACTGAAGATCATCGCTAATCATAACGCTGTGAACTCTTGTAGTGGAAACTCTCCCGGGGAGGGTGAGATTGTAGTGATCTTTTGCAGCATTTTTATTGTTCGTCTCTCAGTTAAGCCGTTATGTAATTGGCTATGAAGACTGCACAGGTTGTCAAAAGATTAGTCACTGCGCGTCAATAACAGTCGTATTCAGTCCTATTCCACCTACAACTTATGAATTGACTACTGGGTTCCAACCATTTTCGATGTTTCCCAGTTTTCTAAATAAAAGGGTCCTCCAACGGGAATATTGCGTCATGTGATTATCATGAGGTGACCAACCCGATTTTCGAGCGTACATTCTAGCCTCCGCCGTTTAGAAATGCGCAACTATCTAGAGTATTCATTTCATGAAAAATGGCTGGTAATACAAGACAAAAGTTAATTATGTGCAAGCACTTTGTTGCCCTCTGTTCCATCCGAGGTCAGACTCATGTAACATTTTAAGTTCTCTCATACCATGCACTTACCTCATCCTCATCTTCATCGTCATTGTTTAAACCCTCCTTTCCAGTGTTTTTCTTTGAAGGCCGATTGACGCGAAGAATGTCCATTGGATCTAATGTTATAAGCTCAGGTTGAATCTGCAAAATATTTGGAAAAATGAACATGCTTAAAAAACAAGCCTCAAAAAATATTACTAATATTATAAATATCATTGTAAATGTGATAATGAAAGATGAAACAAATCAATCCGGCTTCACTTATTGGTGTCTTAAATGAGTAAAGTTAAATTTCTCCCCGATTTAACTCCAGTTAGATTAACCTCTTCACTTTAAATTGCCAGAGTATTTTGATGGAGATTTCTTATCTTTTAAAGGTGAGTCTTGTTTTTGTAACTACTGTTTTTGAGTCTGTGGACGAAATCGCCTCATGATGATGACCATTCAAATGAAAGACCTTCGTACTTTGTACTTTTCACATGGTGCTATTTGTTTCTCAAAAATTTTAGAAAATGAAATGTGGAAATTTGGTCGAAATTTGCCTTTGGCCACATTTGGCAGTGAAAGAGTTAATGGCTCAAATGGCTCACTTTAAATTGTATAGGATGAGTACAATGTATCGATATGCTGCACCTGTTTTTAAGTAGTAGGAGTGCTTATTTTGCTACCGTTTCTTTTGTTAGATGTCTGAATTTTATGTGTGTTTGAATAATAGATTCCTGAATAACACAACCAACATCATAAAAAACACTATAGTCAGTGTTGTTATAGGGTGCTATACCTTTTCTAACAAGGCTTTCACTTCAAACTCTTGCCTCTGTTTTTTGGTCTGATAAGGATTGGCTTCCAGGGCGTCAAAATTTGGCTCACCAGCACCTTATTAGTATAAAAACAATCATGTCAAACAACTTAAAAGGAATACCCACTAACTGGCAAAAGGAGACTATGGCAAAGTGAACGTTCTGGAGCATATTTTTCCTTAACTCTAAACTTAGGGTGTGTTCTCTTTAGGAGAATCCAGGATTAGATTCCAAATGTCAGTTTCTTTAAATTCGTTCCGACAAGAGAAACGAAAAATCTGAAAATGGGTTCTTTAACGCGACAGCGGGACCTTTACGACGGCATGATGCAAGTGCAGAGTTAATGTTTTGCTCACTGAGGCTACTCCTGTGATGTGAATATGCATGTCTTACCTGGTATAAGCAAACTTCCAAATCCTTGAGAGTGTCCCACTCCAAGTACATCCTCAAATGGGCAGAACTGCATTCCATGAACAGTACACGACGGGAAAAGGTGCGACATATAGGGAGACTTCTGTTTTACAGTGAAAGCATCTCGCCATATCTTTCAATTACAATGGAAACAGTGGCAATTAATGAAAAATCCCATTCACACTTGAACCGCCCGTGCGGACTCTCGTCCTTCGTACCACTTGTGACGTCACTAGTTCTAACGGTCATTGACAACTTCATATGTAACTTGAGCAGGGAAGTTATCTTTTGAATCATATCCGAAAGAACACGATTCAGTCAAACAGGCCAGAGAGAAAAACGCAAAAACTCATCTCAAGTTGACCGGAAAATTCCAGGGAAAATCTTGTTCTATTACCCACCCTAGCTCTAGCTTGATAATACAGTCGACGTTTCGTGATGCCACCGATTGTTTCCTCGCGAAATGACGTCTGAGAAACGAGTGCAGAAATTCCATACTGATGACGCGTCACTACCCAGATCTGGGTAGTTCTTCTGATTGGTTGAAGCAAAATTTTCCTCCAATCAGCGGCAGAAGTGGCACGTCATCAGCATGGAATTTCTGTGCTCTTTTTAACAAACGTCATTTCGTGAGGAAACCAGTGGTGGCGTCGCGAAATGTCGGCTGTTTTCTCAGGGTACTAGCCACCCGTACTGCCTTTTCAATAATTTCACCCCCCTGGGAGTGTTCACGCCATTAAAGAAAAAAAATGAAAGGATAAGAAGAGCAAAAGAAAATGACAAGAAAACGGCTTGACCAGCTACCAAAAGCGTTTTTCGGCAAGATTTCCAGGGGCGAGTGGGCAATAATAATAATCTTCATGAAGAAATAAGCATCAGCAAAAGGACGTTCCTGGTTATTGTTTTATATTCAAATCTTTGAGAAATACTTCTAAATAATTTTGAGCTAGATGACAACAGCTCTGTAAAGCTAAGCCCCCTTTAGACCAGAAGATTTACCTTGACAAGTTTTCTTTGTCAAGAAGGATTTTTGCTCGTGTAAATGCTAGGAAAACTTGACCAGTTTTTTCCTTGTCAAAGCAACAGCTTGTCTATTTATATGATCAAAGAAAATTTTCCCATATAGGTGCATATTTAGGATGAAACAAAGTTCGCGTTACATGTTTGTATATTTAACAATTATTTCACGTGTGCGCTTTGGATGGGCCAAGTTGGCTATAATCATCTCACATCCAACAAGCACGAGTGGAATAATTGTTCTATTGAAAACGCCCACAAAATATAGAGAATTCTTCCCGCCTTTATTTGTAAAAACAACCGATCTTCAGCTTGTTTTTAATTTTGAGCAGACGCGTACAGTTACCTACCCTGGGTACCAGAGGTTTTTCTCGCGTGCGGTGGGAATTTTCGGTGTTGGCCGAAGGTCGACACATCTTCGGCCGTAGGCGGGTCACTATAAAGACTTGACAGAAACAGCAAACCGCGCTAGAAAAGTCTCTGGCACCCAGGGTAACAGTTACCATATTTGGAGAGCATAGTATAATGGCTCATATACCATGATGGCTACGCCAATCAGAGCTCTAGAACTGCAGTATCCAATGATTCAGTTTTTAATAATAATTGATATAGACGGGCTTCATCGTAGGGTACGCTATATTTCCAGAGACTGAGGAAGATGTCATGTGGACTAGTAACAAGAACGTTATAGGTTCGACTCTTAATTAGGAGTACTCGAATTTTTTCTTCAGAGCCGCCTATGTCAATAACTAGACTATTCTGTTCTGACGTCATTACCTAGGGCTTTTACCCATACCTAAACTGCTCCTGTAGAGGTATGAAGAAGATACCGAACAAATGTCATCGGGGAGCACTAACCGTAATAATTTTTTTGGCGATTTTTGCAGGCACAGCATTACATTTTGTAAAACTTGAAAACCTTGACCCAACTTTTTCAAGTTACAATCCATATCCATCCTTGCCATCCGTTGACACAGACAACATGAAATAGTTTCAGTGCCTAAATACAGTCTTGAATAACAAAACTGGACCATTATTTTTGGAATCCAGTTCATGCGTAGCTTTACATTTTAAAAAGATAGCAAATAGCCTGGAATAGCCCCTTTAAACTTCAAACAAAAAATGTAAGATACCTGTATGTTTGGTCCAAATCCTACAGCTAACATTCCCTTTTGGCTGATAGCTAAACAGCTTGCTGGAGTTGGTGTATAATAAGCCTGTAGCTGCTTATAAGTTCTAACATCCCAGATTTTCATTTGTCCATCCAGGCCTGACGTTGCCATGTAGCTAAGGTTTTATTATTAGACACAAAATGTCATTATTATTGACTGCTCGAGGTTTGTCTGAGGATTTTAGCGATCTACTTAGAGGTCAAAAATAGGGATAAAAAGACATTAGAATTTCTTACCCTGTCTCCTTGTTTAAATTTACGTTGTGTTCTTAAGATGCTTGGCTGTTTAAGTGTGATTCCAGCAAGTTTTAGTTCTGCAGTTGTTCTCTTTATATATTATTCCCGACAGAAATAACAGTCGCTGGAATTACACTGAAACTGCCAAATGCCCTAAGAACACAACGTAAATTTAAACAATGAGAAAAGGTAAGAAATTCTGATGTCTTTTAAATACTATTTTTGTCCTTTTAAAAAGGAACACTAAAATCCCCATGCATGCAAACACTTATAACATTTCTAAAGAGAACAACGGCAGACCTAAAACTTGCTGGAGTCGCTCTCAAACGGCCAAATATGCTAAGAACACTCCGCAAATTTAAACAAAAAAATAAAGAATGAAATTCTGATGTCTTCTTATTACTATTTTTGACCTCTAAATAACGATTGCTAAAATGCCAAGACAAACCCTTACAACGTTTCTGTTACACAAGAACGATTCTCTCTTAAAAGCTTGGGGTACCTGTGGCATAAAATGTTCTTTTTACAACTTAACCAAGATAGAAGTTACTTACAGTCCTCTGTTGTCGACTGCAATTGCCTGTAAAGGTCCTCTGTGGCACAGCACCTTCACAAGTGGATCTTTAGTGTTAGGGGCCCAAAGCGTTACTGTGCCTAAAAACCATGCAATAAAATAATATGCCAATAGTTTTATTCTGTTGAGTTGGCAAATGAGATAAATTCAAATCAATTAGATACTTAATTATCCTTAACAGACCTGTAACTATTGTAGTTAAAAACACTTGCACCACTAAAGGAACACTTTGCACGCGTACACGCAACGGTTGCAGTTTGTCGTTCTCGTTGGCCTTTTTCCCGTCCCTACCCACAATTCTCTCTCTAACTCAAGTGACAATTTAATATTGGAATTCAGTGCGCACCTACAACTGGTTTCGGTGCCCGCGCTTAGCAGTTTCTATTTCGTTGTTGGTCACCTTGAGAAAAGATTCCCACAGAGCATCATGTAAAGCTCTGTGATGGGACAAATTTAATACGATTTGCTGAGTCTTCATCATCCAATATCGGACCGAAGTTATCGTATTGTACTAAAATCCTGTCTACGGCCACTTCTACACAAATCCCTAACCAGGAAACAACCAAGAAAAGATGCGATAAAGAAATAACACAGTAAAAAAGCTAAGACAGGGGAAGTTGAGACAAATTACAAAACGTTTGCTAACCCGGTTTTCATAAATCCAGGTAGATATATAAATATGAAAGCTGAAACTTTGTAGATGAGGTTGATTTCCAGTGTCCCGTAACTTTTACGTGCGTACGTGCATAACACTTACGTTCGCAAATAAAATAGAGGCATAGAAGGTCGCTCGTAAGAGTAACCTCCCTCAACTTCTCGTTTAAGCTCAGCACTTTTTATCTTGCCTCTATTTGATTTACGTGATAAAAATTTACGTGCGTTAACTTGCGTAGCCAAAAACGCGTCAGTGGAAATCAATCTTGAGAACGTTTAATTTACAGTAAAACAGTTAACTGATCCTTCCAGGAGGAGGAGGGGTGGGGGGTACTCAAACAATATTTGGGTATACATGAGCTGCTGAGGGTTTTTAAAATTCCTAAAATACATACCCTGTTTAGGACATAGGAGAAAACGCACGCCGTCTTGTTTTACAGCAATTTATTGGCAATTGCAATAGAGCAAATTCACGTTATAGTCCTTGCTTTGGACACTTTAAGTACAAACAAGTTTCATCGAGCAAATCAATTCAATCGTGCAGGCAATAGCTTGCTTATAATCAGGACACTAGACTAGCACAGAATTATAGGCTCTGTCTAGGAGAGACTCGCGCGAAATTATAGACCATGTTCAGGACAGAGAAGTCAAAAACCATACCCTGTTAAGCAACAAATCCCGTATAGACCATATAAGGGAGGGAGTACCACTCCCCCTCCCCCCGTGATCCTTACGGCAAGAAGAGTGACAGAAAAAAAAGTAAAGAAAGAAAACAAAAAATCAAATGGTGAATTATATTTGCTCCATATTTCAGTTTGCAACACACACCTTTAATAACGGGGGCTAAAAGATAAATGAATAAATATGCATAACAAGATGAACGGTACATATGCGAGATTTGAACACATAGCAAGCAGGATAAAATAGGTAAAAAGGATAAATGTCACTGATTAAGTTCATCACGTCTATTTATACCACGAGGATCTAATGTCACTGAAATGTTTTCAAAATCGCATAGAAAATTTTTTCTAGGCAATGATATATATATCTCTTATTAGTAAAATCCAACTAGTGGTCTATTATCAATGCTGCGTTCTGATTGGTTGAGCTACTACTAGGCTATATGTTATAGCCCACTAGTAGCGAAAAGCGCCGGCTTTTTGGCGGCAAAAAAGGATTAAAGTCTAGTTTAACTCGCTAAAGTTGTTTTGTCTCCATATTTTTGACGAACTAGTTGGATTTTACTAAAACAATTATTCCTCTCGCCCTCATGGCCTCTGAGCCAATGACTCAGAGCCCATTCGGGCTCGAGGAATAATTGTTAAGGATTAGCCCAGAAAACATCGAAGCGTTTTTTATTACGAATATCAATTAACAAACATGCCGACTACCGGTAAGAGATTGGCAGCTAAGTCTGTCTACTTTCCATGCATTAGCTTTCCGCCTTTTAAGGAACTGGTCCACGATCGAAGATTGGAATGTTCTTCCACCAAGTACAACTAAGCGATTTCCAGAAGCGAGAATCTCCACTTCCACAATATAGCTATTGCACCACGATCAGCAAGTTTAAACTCTGAAGGATTAAAGGTGATGGGTTTTAAGGGGGCTACAATCTTCTTTAGTGACTCACTTCGCTTCCGCACGGGTATTACTTTGTAACTTGAAGAACCAAACTCTGCAAAATCAGCGGCCAGAAAAACAGGGGTGGCCCTACCTATTTTGTCTCTTATTGACTGAACGCGAGCACTCAAGAAAGAAATGCATTTCACTAAATCGGAAATATTTAATCCTTTCCCTAAAAGCCATTCAGTGCGAATATGCACAGAGACGAAGAACCCACCAAGATGTTTTGCAACGAAAATTTCAGCAATATGATGGAGTTTGGAACTAAAAAGAGAACTGATATTTTGATAACACAGTATGTTTCTCACAGCATGCCAAGTGTCAAAACGAGCTCTAGCAGAGCCTTGCCAGTTGCCAATTCCACGCCACTGAAAAATTCCAACACAAGGAAGGCCCATAACCACTTCATTTTCAAACCTCTGAACAGAATCGAGAGAAGCATCCATACAAATCGTTTTTCCAATATTAAAGCCTTTAAACATGGTCTTATGGCGATCGTTACAACGATAAAACGGCGCGGAACGGCTATAGTTGGTCGTCACCTTAAGATCTGGGTAATCAATGTAAACCAACAAGTCAAGTCTTGCTTTGCAGACATCTTGAAATACCTCCCAGTTTATAAGTGTTGCGTGGCCATGAGAGCGGAGCTTGTTATTTAACGCTTTCAAGTTGTAATAGAAAGCGAGCGTTTTGTTATTTTTGGTCGGTGTTCCACTGAAACGCGAATTTTCGACAAAAGGAACAACAACCTGTCTTTCTCCATTAGCGGCCAAAGCTGTGAGCCTAATAAGATTATTTGACGCCATTGTTAACTGTTCCCACCAGTTGAAAGCAATGATAATCTTGCGTTGCCGTATGGATCTGATAGCGGGGGTATATTTCTTGAACCGCTCTGTACTTCTTGTTCCCTCATAAAGTAAGTATACGATGGTCACTGCGTACAAAACTATTAGCAAAGACCCATATGAAAGACCGCGGATTAATATCGCCATGTTAAATGATAAGTGGTTGGTGCAAAACAAGTATTACAGTCAAACCAGGTCAAGCGTACCGGACGTCGATAAAACCGGGAACATGGAACATTCCGGAACATGCCGGAACATCCCGGAACATTAAAAAATAAAAATAATTTCCATGAAAATAAGTATATAAAATAATAATAATAATAACAATAATAATAATAAGAATAATAATAATATATTTTTTTAATAATAATAAAAACTTTATTCATAGATTTAAAAAAAGAGACTATTTACAGATTCAAGAATATGAAATATTAAAATATATACCCTATGTACATTCTTCTTGTGTACGAAAGAGAATTGTCGTAAAATGACTATCCTAAGACTACTAATAACAATCATAAAAAGCATAAAAAAGTTAATAAAAAAAATAAAAAACTATTTAACAATAATAATTCAAACTGACAAAAAGTTACTACTTAAATTCTGGCTTGCGCACTTTCCGATGTAATGTCAATGTCAGATATATTGGCTGCTCTTCTCTTGCTCCTGGTTCCTCTGAGACACAGCAAGGCTGATCGTATTATCATCGTATAATAATAATAATAATAATAATAATAATAATAATAATAATAATAATAATAATAATAATTTTAATAAAAATTAATAATAACGTAAAATAACAAAAAACCGAAAGAGAAAGAAATAGAGAAAAAGAAACTCGTATCATCTCCGGGTATGAGAAAACAATATTTTGTCGCAAATAATTTGTGGGGCGAGGGTCCATGGAAATGACAGTAATGAGTGAGGGTTTGCTTCTAAATTCAAAATATATTCAAATGGGTCGCGAGGAGGGGGGTTTTCAAGCTTTATTCACACAGCTACCTCTTGTAAATGTTTGCCATGCGGTTTAACGGTTATTCATTTCCTGCTTTGCAACCGTAAGAAGAGCTTAGGGGCTCGTCGCTTTGGACTTAAGTAACTTAATTACCGACTCGGCTTGACATGACATACTGCACCGACATTTCAGACCATCGCAGAACCGTAAATGGTTAACCGCCAAATGATTAACTCATGGCAAACAATTACAAGAGGAAGCTGTGTGAGTAAAGCTTGAAAACCCCCCTCCTCGCGACCCATTTTAATATATTTTGAATTTAGAAGCAAGCCTTCCCTCATTACCTTCATTTGCATGGACCCTCACTCGCCCAACAAATTATTTGCGACAAAATATTGTTTTCTCATACTCGGAGATGAGTTTCTTTTTCTTAATCACTTCTTTATTTTTCGTGTCTTTTTTTTTTTTTTTTAATTTTATGTTATTTTACTATTATTAATTTTTATAAAAACTATGTTATTATTATCATTTTATTTAATTTTTTTTTAATGAAAATTACTTTTATTTTTTCATGTTCCGGGATGTTCCGGAATGTTCCATGTTTCGGGTTTTATCGACGCCCAAGCGTACCCCCCAAGAATACATTAATGAATTTATTATTCAAAAGTTGAATCCGTTGCTAGTTGTAGATTTCAGATTGATCTCCGCATTCTTGCATGTGTAATGAGCCGTGAATGCGCACGCGAGGCAGTTATGAAATTTCTACCTGCTCCATTTTTCTGAAATTGATGTAAATGACTTCTAAGAAAATTAATCCATTCAAAGATTTCCAATCTGACCAAATACAGAGAAGTTCTCGTAAAATATTCACTGCTCATTACCCATGCAGAAATGCCGCTTTGATTTTGACACCAGTTACGGGAACGACTAAGAGATTCATTTTTCAAATAATCAATTCAGTAATACAATCTTGGGGGGTACGCTTGACTTGGTTTGACTGTAAAATTATTCAATGAAGTATATAGCTGATTCAAAAAAGCTTGCTTTGGGCATTGGGCATTGGGGAGCTATTGTTTGGTGGTCACTCAAGTAAGTCATTGCATTGTTCCATATACAGCTATTTCGAGAAAGGTTGTCGGAAAACATGTGCACGCGACAATCCCGAAAAGTAATATGGGATATGATCAATACACTGTTCCTGACACTGTAGCTGTCGAACCTACTTTTGTTGCTTTCCTTTAGCACTCGCAGACATATGTCCGCGGCCTCAGCTGACGGCCTCTCCTGCCATTCTTTCAAATTTCTTTGAAAAACAGTGAGCTCAAAACCACCCACAATACCTATTGGGTTTGTCGCGTGCACTTTTTCCGACAACCTTTCTCGAAATAGCTGTATACCCAAATGCCCCATGTCCAATTACCATTGACCAATTACCACAGGAAACTTTTTTTATTTAGCTGTACATGTATACAAAAAAAACCTGTTTTCCATGAATGCCGTGCCTTACTTGATATCATAATAACTGTGCAAAAGTGAATTAAAATTACGTAGGGATTCTGCTTGCCTTAATGTTTCAGGAAGACTATTCCACAGAACAGCACCACTGTAGCGAAAACTGTTACGGAGATAATCAGGGGCACCCAACGGGAATATAGTTCAAAACCACTTAACATAGCATTGTTGAACGTATTTTAGTATTTAAACGGTAGATATAGGTATATTTTTATCCCCTAAAATGTTTTTATTTTATCTGTTCTAGTGATCAGAAAATTATTTCAGGCGTTTTAGTGGGGAGGGATGAAAAAAGTCTAAAAAGTGATCCGAAAATTATAGGGATCAAAACTTACCTTTTCGAAAATTTCAGCCAGAAAAAGGGCTCCCGAAAATTCTAGGTGACCTTTTTAGGATAAAAGTCCGTTAAAAATGGGCAATTATACCACTTTTTTAGATGTTCGAAAATCCTAGGAGAGGCATGCAACCAAGAAATTTTACAACAAATGTTTCAAAAATTCTAGATCTCAAATCGTCTTCGGAAGAGATTTTCCGAAAATTGACGTTGGGTGCCCCTGAGATAATTTGTGCGTGGCTGTGGGATAGCATAGGGCTGAAAATAACGGACAGCAGGTCGCCGGTCATGATGACGGGCCAAATACTTTTTAGCCCGGACAAACAATGTTATAGAGCAAAACGCATTAAGCGACAACTATATGGAAAATATTATAAAATGTTCGCATCCAAAAATGACCGGCAAGACGAGAGTTTGACCGGTCAAGTCCACGATCAGGCCGGACATTGTCCGCGTTGACCGGCCGTTATTTTGAGCCCTGAATAGTTAATTTATTTACAGAATCTCGAAATGTGTTACCCTGGGTTCTTATCGATACTGATGGTTCGCGGCGTCTCCGTCTCGGGAGCCTTATCAAACCGTAAGCACGGTTTATTTCACATTAGGTATTTTGAGAACGGACCTCTGGAACCAGGGTAGAAAAGTGTATGAATCGAAGTGGTATTAGATCGAGCAATAAAAAATTTAAGGTTTTTAGGTACTCAGGGAGTACTAAATTTTTGCAATTTTGGAAATGCGGCATCTGTATCAAGGCTCGCGCTGCAGGTAAGATTTGAAGTTTGTTGTTTCTGGCCACTGCTTCCCCAAACAAATTGCAATAGTCGAAATGCGGCTGAATCAAGGTTTTGTAGATAAGATGCAATGTTGCTAGCCAGTGAGGGAACAAATTACCTGACCCGTTTGATAGCTGCAATACCCGAGGCAATTTGTTTAGCCAACTTTTCGATATGACTGCCCCAGGTAAGGTTTGCATCAATGAGTACGCCTAAAGATTTTGACGTTGATACCTGGTTTATGGGAGTACCATTGATGCTCAGAACGGGACAGGCACTTGGGGCGTTCAGCTTTTGTATCGAGCAGATTAGCATAAACTCAGTCATATATAAAGTGTGAGTTTGTTTGCGATCAGCCATTTGCTGATATTTAGCAAGTCTTCATTCAAACAGGACTGAATGATATTCACATCTTTATCAGCGTAGGTAAGATGCGTATCATCGGCATACGTTCTACGATAAGGCAATTTGGTAAGTCGTTTATGTATAGTAATGCCCTCTCCTACCCTATTTATTTTTTAATTAATTTACTTATTTATTTGCTCATTTATTTGTAACAGTCGACTAGTGATAACTCAAACTTCGCGCTAACTCCAGCCAACATCGATTTCCCTGCATGGAGTTCCTTCATCAAGAAAGTCACCTTCATACATTTACTGTAATTTTTACACTCACACAGCCGTTTTTTGTGTCGGATTTTCAGTAGCAGGTCTAGATCGCGCAAAATTCGGATTTTATCTATTTCAAAGTTTTTTGTTTATTGTTGTCAAAGTGATATCGATTTTACTAAAAACTACATTTTGACAAACTTCAGTTCATGGTCAATCATTGGTGAAAAGTTTGTAGCGATCGGACAAGGACAAAATCACTTTTAAGACGATTGAAAAACATCGGTATGGTTTCCGAAAAACTGTATTGAAACACCTTAAATTGAGCTCCACTGGGAATCGCACAGCTACTGCTTGCAAATCCGGGCAAAGCGCCGTAAGATTAGTATTTTGGCTTTCCTGGTCAAAAATTATTTGAATTTCAACCAAGCCGTTTTGTTCACCATAAAGGATATTCTTATGTTTGTTATCCACATCGCGCTCTTGCAATTTCTTCAGCCTTGAGGCCTGATCTGGGTTTTGGCTCTTTCTGCCCTCAAGGTGTCCATATCCTTCCTCGTCTCATAGTTCGTTCAGTGTTGCCCTTTCTTCTACCACTCTCGTTACATGGAAATTTTTTTGAAAAAGTGATTTCCTTTGCTATTCTCTAGCATTCTAGTACGTACATCTTTGTTCATTTGCTCAGTCCACTAAGCTTCTTGGAGTTTCTCAACATCGTATCTGCTGTGACTTCATTCTTTCTTATCACGCGGCCACCAGGCCAGATATGATTTTCAATTTTCAAGGCTTTTACAATTTACCCATGCACTGAAATTTCTCCCCAGACAGGAATTCACTCGGCTTAACGTAAAAACGCCGTGAACCACTTACTCCAAGCGGGTGATTACTTCACATGTCGTTTATGAGTGAGTAAGGGATTGACAACTAAGCCTGTCTACTTTCCCGCCGACTCTGCCATTGGCTGTCCGCTTTTTAAGGAACTGGTCTACTACAGAATACTCATGCATGAATGCTTATTTGCAATAATTCTTTACTCTTCGTAAGGTTACTTTCTTGAATTGCTCTCTACTTCTTATTCCTTGAATATCACCACGTTATTTGCCGATGACTCAATTTAATAGGAAACGCACGATCACCAGAAAACGTTCAATCCGACTAACACTGCTTATCGCATTGGGCCAACGTGTGGCAAATGAAATTTGAGGGGTAATTCACCCTTACAAGGGGTAGAAAAGTAAAAAGATATAGGAGTGGTTGTTTCAGCTAATCATACTCTTTTTTGGGAGGACAGTATACGAGGAATGATTTTAAAAGCAAAAAAAATGACATCATGGATCAGTAGGAATTTAGTAGCTATAAAACCAGAAGTCCTTATACCATTTTACAAAGCATTCGTCAGACCCCGTTCGGAATACGCAGTGCAGCAGTGTGCTTTATGGTCTCACTTTCCCACACGCTTACACAGATCGATAGGACCATCCACACTGACAAAGTCACCCAAGAGTTTTGTGCCGAGATACCGCGTTGAGTGGCATTCGTCTTTTTAACATTTGGCATTGACCCACACTTTATCACTATTATTCCGTGCAATAACCACAAAACAAAGAAACCAAACATACCATTATAGTGTCCAAGGTGAATGACAGCGTTATAAGGATTGTGCGTCATGCAGTCACACTTTCCAAGCTTTGTATACAAATCAACAACTGGTTTGCCTGTTGATGTGTCTTGATACTTTAGTATTCCATGTTCTCCCTGTTATATAAAGTTTGGAAAGTTCACTGATAGAACATAATATACGAAAGATGAAAAACGTCTGAGGCTAATCGCACATAACGTGCAACGTCAGATCTACAGAGCAGCTCACATGACTCGTATATTATGACATTTCCCATTGCTCCACCAATACATCCTTTCATTCGTGAAAGCAAACAAAGTTTTTAACCCTGATTTTGTTCCTCAAGTAAGAATTCATATTACCTTATTCAAATATATTTTAGTAAATGTTTAATGAATACTTTTATTTAAACTAGTTTCACGTAGGAAAAGGAATTACCCCAATTTTTTTAAAGTTTCAATCCATGCCCATCCTTTAAGTCCGTAGCAACAAACAATAGGAAACAATTTTAATGCCAGTCTCCAATGAGGAAAATTAACCATTCTTCTACAATCGGCGACAAAATTGTCGAGACATTGTACTCAAACAGGGTAACTTCAGATGAGATAACAAAAGAATCCACACCCCTTCCCCCTCCCTTCCATTCAAAGTTGGGGTGTTTGTTGTTTTCTATAGGTAGCTCTAACAGTGGCACAACACTGCTTGTAGAGGATGGGGGAGGAAAAGCTTTATTTTCCCTTTTGAAGTCAGTGAAACGTTAGAAAGCCCTTTTGGGGCGAAATGTCTCAACTCATTTTGGCACCAATTGTAGGAATTCAATAAAGGTGGAGACATGTTTAACGCTTATTTTCAATAAGGTAGTAAATATAGCAGGACATACATGTAGCCCCTTTGAATACATAAGGCAAATTACAATTGCGTTTAATTGCTAAATGATACCAAAAAATTTTGCCAGTGTTTAGAAAATGACCACTTACCACTGAGGCAAGAAGGAAATGATAAGGTAAAAACTCTAATCTGTTCACTTGACGATGGTTTTTTAGGCAGTGGAGTTCAATGCCATTGTTGTCATAAATGAAGACATTTTTCTTCTGTGCGACAGCAAACATTGTCTCAACATGTAACCATCTGCAAAACAAAATGAAATCAATGTAAGAAGGGATCAAGGGACAGGGCAGCAGTGAGAGTACTTGCCTCCCACAAATGTGGCCCAGTTTCAAATCCCGGCATTGACATCATTACGTGAGTTGAGTTCGTTGTTGGTTCTCTCCTTTGTTTATGTTCTGTGGTCACGGTTTTCTCGGCCTCTCATCAAAAACCAAAATCTCAAAATTTGACCAGGAATGGTAGACAAAGTATCACTCTGTTTATTGAAGTCTTAAACACATGTACAATGAATGTGGATGGCCAGAACATCAACAGAGACTACAGAGCATGGATGGTCATGGCACAACGGACCACTGAGGGAACAATTTTTTTGTAAGAATGGACAATGAGGAACAAAGTTCACTAACCACTAACAACTACAGTGGGGTGAAAACTCAGTAAGAACTAACAGCCATAATTAAAGGCTGGTTTTCACTAGCCACAGAGTAAAAGTTGAAATCATAAGTGGAGTCGTAAGAGTGCTTAAGACCTTCTGAAAATCAAAAATCGGAGTCGTAAACGGAGTCATAAGTGCGACAGAATCTGAGTTTGAAGAATCAGAACATTTCCATTTCCTTCTGACCCTGATTACAACTCTGTTGCTTACGATCTAGTGGAAACCAGATTGTTGGACTTGGAAGCAGGAGAAACTAATCACAATGCAAGTTCCCACGCTTTGTGATTGGTTTAGTTCTTTTGCTTCTGCTTACGACTCCGACAATCTAGTTTTCACTTGAATGCAAGCGACTGAGTTGTAAGCAGAAAACCAGCCTTAAGCTAAAATACTAATTTTTTTAATTTTTACGAACATATGTGAGCCAAATTTTGCGAGAACTAATTTTTGTGATTGCAAGAAAAACTAAAGCAAAAATGTACAAAATTTTTGTAATTTTTTGCAGTGTTTTATTTTCTATGAATTGAATTGAGGGTACTTATCACAAACCATAAAATTTTAAAAATTTTATTTAAAGTAAGATGCCGAGGGTAAACTTAAAACCACACTATAACTTATTCATGAGACCTTCTGACACATCAGCAAAGCTACCTTTAGTAATACTACATGCACATGTATTAAACTAAACAAAACATAACAGGTCTTCAAGTATGCAATAAATGTCGTATGAAAGAAGTTTTTCGCTGAATTACAAGCTGGAGAAAGCAGAGAATCAAAGAAAGGGTGCTAACTGCAGACTGGACGGACAACAACAACATCCAGACACTTTGAGTTTTTATTCGCCAAAAGGCCTAAAGGCCTGGATGCAGTTCAACATTTAAAATTCTTTTTGACTTGTCATATATTCAACGCCATTAAATTTTGTGTGTTTAACTTTATTTGGACAATCCTTTGTTCACACGTATTAACTTTTTGCAATTTTTTTTAATAACTGTGAAAATCACACAAATTAAAATAGTGAAAATAAGAGACTTCTTCTAATAATCCCAAACAGCCCATTGACACCATGACATGATAAAGACCAACAGTGAAATGTAGATCCACAATAATCATATAAATCATAATATTATTTTTTGTCACATCTAATAATGCAATCATTATTGTCCTGATCACCAGAGTCATCTCAAAATATGTTCAGGTGGCCAAGATAATAATATAAAAACACTTCTGCAGAGTTGTCAGAAAGTTTAGAAGTAGACAGCTGAGTTATCAAAGAAAGCGGCCAGCGCTGGAGGCACTACCAAGCGCCAAAGGCGCAATCCTCTAGGATGCTCTGAAATGCTGTTTTTGTCATGCAAAGCAGCACAAGCAAAGTATTGAGTTTCGTGGCATTTTTCATAGTACCCACATCTGTAAGTGACACATAATTATTGCTATAGTTTTCAGAAGATGTTTCTTACCAGTCCAGGGATATTTTATTTTAAAAACGCCATCCGAAAAGAAATCCCAAGCAGAGTAGCCAGCCAATAATAACCTAGTAGGGGGGATTTTTGCTGGCAGCCAGCTTTTTTTGACAACCCTGTTCTGAAGTGATGAGGACAGTATTATCAACAATTGGAGCAATTGCAACTGCCTGGATAAAACTAAGGTTTATTTGTATAGGCTAATTTTTATTGTCCACATCAACTTACTTTGCAAAAATCCAGACCATTACTAACAGTAGAAGCCAATCTTTACTACACTGCAAGTAGTTGTGAATCTCACCTGACATCTCTAACTGTTTCTTGCACGTGAACCTCACAACCCAGTTTCTTATTTTGCCAGTCCAATGTGGCCAAGTGTCCCCTCTTACCACCAATCAGTACAAATCTGTCGAAGAGAAAACACACTTAAATTAATTACTTTGATTCACAGCTACATGGCACAATTCAGCCTCTGACAGCAGCTACTGTACAGTGCAGGTCAAAAATGTCCATATAAATAATTATTGAGTGGAATACAAATGCCATCAAATATAAGTTTTTGAACCTCGGCTGCATGACCTCTAACTTCTTGTACTTGAGCTTTTGCAATTTGTATCCTAGTTCTTTATGGTGAACTGATACCATTGTCTTTGCTAAATCAAATAAGCCCCCCCCCATCTAAAATAAGCTCCTGTCTCCTCCCCACATCCCCCCACACACTTTAGATGTGTTTGAAATAGATAAACCTGCTGGAGGACGGGGGCTAAATAGGAGATTTAAGGTAATAGAGAGAGGTGAAAACCTAAGTATGTAACAAAATGCTCTTGGAGCAAGAACCAACAACAAATTAACCCACATAGCATGTACCATGTCACCTCTAGGATTTGAACCTGGGCTAAATTGGTGGGATGCTAAGTTTTGTTGATGGCCTTTTTAGGGGTATGGTTAAATGTGACAGTAAAGCGTTTCAAACAAAGAAAAATAGATTTAAACCAGAGATACAATAAAAACTGAACAACAGCAACATAACCTTTCCATAATCATCTAGACTTTTAAGCATAAAATAGTCATACTGTTGATTTCTCATAAAATACAACCAACACACCTTCCATTGCGAGTGTAATTTACCCTATAGGGTCCAAATGTGTCCAGGTTCAATTCAAAATACTAGAAGAAAAAAAATAGCATTTAATTACCATTATAGAACAGGCTTTATGGTGAAACTTATTAAAGTACATGGAATGCCTTTGACGCTGATGGAAAGAATGGTTTCACCTCCGAAAGTGTACATGCAACCCAGCCTGTAGTTTGAATATGGACTTGCCTATTGTTTTCCATCCAGTATCCGAAATAATGCAGAATATGTTCAACTATATGCATTTTAAAATAAATACAACAATAAAACAAAAAAAGGAAAAAGAAAGAAAGAAATAGAAGTCTTCATGACACGATATTTGCAGCTGGTCATCCATCCAGTTCCTAAACCACTCACCATGGCTTCATTAACTTGGAGAGTTGTGAGGATTTGAGACATGTAATTCTAGTACATGTAAATAATATGTAAACAAGTGATGTGTGTTAACAATTACTGCACTGATTCCAATTTATCATCTTATTCTGGCTCCTTGCAGAGCCAGATCTAGAGGTTCATACAGACTCCTGGTATGAGTGGTCAACAATAATAATAATAATAATAATAATTCATTCATTTACCCTTGGCAGTATTTATAGCACTTATGCCAGTGGGGCCGAGCAAATGACTGAACCAAATAATAATTAATGCAACTACAACACTCACTGAGAGTCTCAGATATCATCAGCTAAGCTCATAATACTGGACAAAACTAATTACCATACGCCATTCAATTGTTCACAATAATAATAATATTTTTGTCACAAACATTGTTTCACAAAGACTGTTATAAAATTTTTTATTGGATACAGCAGTAGATGTACACAGGTTTTATCTACAGTACAATGCTCTGATATATTAAAAAACTTACCTTTCTTGCACTTGCAACATCAACGACATCAGCGATGTCCTTCTGTTTGAACTTAAAAGTTTTCTCTAAGCCTTCAGCCTCTAAGTAGCTACAGTATATAATAAAGTTAAAAATAAATCAACAGCTTTAAGTCAAGTCAATACACCAGAGACTAAACACCTGAAAAATAAAATACATGCTTCAGTGAAATAAATATTAAATAAGAAGGAACAACAGCAGCCAAAAAAAACTTTTCATCAGTGGTCAGTTATATGGTATTTTTACTTTTTGAGTCAGATTTGAAGCGGAGGATCAGCCAGGCGACTTTTCAGTTTCAGGAGGTAAATAAGCCTTTAGTCATTTCTCAGAACTGAAGTTGGAAACAAAAATTGTTCACAGGGATTCCCATTCTTCTCCGATCCTTCTCAAGCCAAATTCATTCTGCCTTAGAATTTTTACACTTTCAATTTCCCTTTTCTGAAAGAGAGGGCAGGGATTCTACTTCACTGATTTCAATATTAATAGAGGATGGTTAATGTACTGTAAAATTTTTCATCAAAATGCGTGGTTCTCAAACTTCTAATAGCTGGTGAAGATCTTACGCTTCAGAACCCTAATTATGATAGCCCATCATAATGGATGTATTATTAAAAGGGATGTATTTATACCCTGGTTGTTCTGTGAGTAGTAGTTCTGATTTGGCTGCCTGTATAGCTGCTTGCTGATACTGTGACTCATATGATTTGAGTTTGCCTCGAAGTTTCTTGTCCTTTAAACGCTGATAAGTAAATACAAAATAACATTAAAAACATAAGCTTACATTCAGAAAATAATGGTTTCAGTTAAAAGTATAATCACTACATCAAACGTCAGTCAAGAATTATTACTAAGTGTGGTGTATGTGTTGAAGCGTAACACTCGAGAGTAATTCATGCAGTTCATCTGTCATTGACATAAATCCACCTGGAGAGACTAGAGTTGTATCTTTTGCAATGCACTCTTAGTGGTTACCGGTCATTTCCCCCTCAAGACATTTTGCCCCACTTACTTTGCCCACTATTTTAGAACAAGGAATCTTATAATTGAAGCAATGATGCTTGTTTTGGACGTTTATGGCTTATTATAAAATAACTAAAATAGTACGTGCGTTCTGATTGGTTAAAAACCAATGGTTTATTTTTGCGGGTAAGCTCATAGAAAAACTTGTTAAATCACTCGTCTTCGGCTCGTGATTTACAAGATTTTCTCGTGTTCTCCCAACAACCCGCGTTGGTTATCACGCCTGTAAACCCATAGAAAGTGTGGTCTATTGCTTAAAAGAACGAGGAATATTACATTTGAAGCGTGCTTGTTTAGATTTCTGGCTTATAGAATGAGCAATATTATATTTTGAAGCGCGCTAAATGACTCGAAAATAGGGGGCTAAGTAACCGGGGAGAAATGATCGGTTACCACTTTTAGTTTGTATGAACTGACCTTAAACCTATTTTGTTTCCCTCTGTTGTACTTCCCCAGTGTGTCTTTGTCCACTCTGTCTCCATCCTTAACTTCCTTCATAGCTGTATTCCCTATCACGTGGAATATCTCAGTAAATCATGAACACTCGTTGGGAGAAAGTAGAATTTTAGGTCAAGAATAACAACACATGGTTTACCTCAACTTTGTCCGCCATCTTGGATTTTGGTAGGTACTTCATGTATGGGATTTTATCTATATTACCGCTGACCCACTCAATTCTCCTACCCAGGCTCTTTCCAGCATTCTACCCTGCAAGTGTTTGAAAACGGGCAAGAAGAACGCGCAACTTGTTTTTCGATATTGCTACAAAAAGAGTTGAACAGCGATGTTGCGCGTGTTACCACCCACGAATCAAACCTGTCCCGCAACGAACGAGGTAGTCGCAGGTTGGGAAAAGTTGTTGCGGAAGGTAGAGACTACGTCTACTTTTTGCAGCAAACTCTTTATGTACATGCTGCGCGTTTCACTGGCTCAAAGCAAACTTGTTTTGCGGCATGCATAGCGTGACTTCCGCGTAATTTTATACAACCAAAAGTCAGTATTCACACAAATTTGTTAGCAAGACAGATTTGAACGTGTAAAACGCGCAACATCGCTTTTCTACTCGAAGAAACATATTGATTTCAATCCACTTCACGGTAAAAGAAGTCTTGCAATGCAACTGGTAAAAACTGCAGAGACGTTTTGGTTGAAACACGAGACACTGGGCGGTATTTGTCGGCGCGTGCGTGGAGATAAGCTGCACCGCCTGGAAAGGTATCTGATGGGGCATTGAAAGGTATAATTCACTGAGTTTCAAGTTTTGTTCAGTTGTTTAGAGGAGAATTTACAAACTGCTCTACTCGCAAATAGCAGGGTTAATCTAGGCGGGTGGAGCAAATCAGTTAGTTTTAATACACTGAAAATCTAAAGAAATAAGAAACTAAATTAATAGATAAATAGAACAAATTACTAAGAGATAGAGAAATATATATATATGACAAGGGCGTGTTCGATTGGGGTGTCAGCTGTTTTAGGGTTAGGATTGGGGTTCGGATAGGATTAGGGTGAGTGTCAACCCTAGCTCTAAAACAGCATTCTTTAAAAAAAGATAGACCCCAACCCCTGCCCCTGCCCCGACTCCTACCCCGCGTTATACTGACACCCGTTCGATTGACGGTCTCCCGGAATAAGAATAAAGGGAATACATTCTACATATCATGTGTTTTGGCTTTCAATGCAAAATACTTACATATACATATTCCGATGTATCAGTAGCGTCTAAGTGGCCCAAGCTTTGTGACAAGTGAGTGTTGACTAGCTCTTTGTCTTCTTTTGAGATTAACAGAATACGACCGAGCGAACGCACCCGTTGATAATAACAAGGAACTTGTTAACAAAGTAACAAGTAAAAATTCTTTTTGAATTAAAATAACATCCAGTACCGATCGAGGTAAAGACAAAAGGCTTAAAGAGTGTTGACTAGTTCTTTTTCTTCTTTTGAGATTAACAGGCGCTTCAAAGTAAACGGCGTCGTCAGTTTTCTAAAGCTTAAGAGATAGCAATAAGACACAAACATATATTTTTCGGAAGGCTTTTTTGGATACTGTATTAGCTTATTTCAGTGGCGATACTATTTCATTAATTGGCCTCAAATTACAACCAAGTAAGAGTGAATCATGGTATGGGAGCTGTTGTTTTGCTCATTGAACCTCATGTCAATAGAGAAAGGAGAAATCTAATCGGGATGTCTAGGCGATTCACAAAAGTAGTTTTGTCTTGAATTGTCTTGTCTGACAATCTCTTTGCCGTTGCCGTCTTCGTCGGATCCTATTAAAAAGCTGCTTTTTAAAATCGAGGTGAGGGAGAGGGAAAGTGGGAGTCCCTCTTCCCGAATTTTTTTTTTTCTGAGGGTCGGGGGAGCGGCTGTTCAACGGCAGGAAACCCCAAACGCAGGCTAGAACCTCACCCCCTCCCCCAGGAAGATCATCTGAATTTGAACAACAACAAACAGGGCATTATCACGAAAAAAATTATCCTTTGGTGGAAGAAAATGAAAAAAAATCCGAATTAGCAACCTAAAGGCTGCGTCTGACTCATCATTTGTTCACAGCCTTATATTAAATATTACCTTGCGTTTCTTAGATTCATAGAAACAATTTTTTTCAATTAAAACCAAACTTATACAAACCGAGTTTGCGTCAGCCTTGTTTCCGTTCGATTTTGTAAAAATGTCGAGTACTTTTCGTTAACTGGTTACGTTCGATTAACGCTTTTTTTTCGATATATATACAATCTGTAAAAAATTAACGATAACAAAATTATAAATTTACATTTTCTGTACTATTTTAGGTAACGAGTATTTGCCCATTTCACAATTTTCGAGAAACCACTAAAATATTTTAATTGTCCACATACAATGGAAAATAGTTCAATTTACGAACTCAAACCTTAAAATCAGGCGAAAGAAAATTGCCAGTTATAAATGAAAATTTATTGGACAAGTTTATAAGCGAGTTAATTTAAAAAAAAAGAGTTTCCGCGGTTATGATTTCTCTTTGTAAACATTTGTAAGAAGCGGAAAACAACGCTGTGAATTTATTTCCTACGTTTCCTTTTCAGAAGAACAATAAGAAAATCGAATGGAGGCGATTTGATTATTCTGAAAATATAAAGGCACCTTTTGAATAATTCTGAATTGCACCTGTTTGGTCTAACATGGAAATCTTTTCATTGGTTTGCAACAAACTAAATGATTAGTCGCTAAAATGAAATTGGTCAAATTTATCGATTGAATCTACGGGGATAAATTATGAATTTTCTCACTGCAGTCGATCAGTAGAGTGTCCAACCGAGCAAAGCGAAAGCATCTGCGGTGGTATAGTTCATCAAATATTTTTTTCTACCATCAAAGGCTTTGATTCTCATAGATTTTGCGTTAAACCGAATCATCTTTGTCAACTGAAGCGTCACCCGTTTGTTTTGCTTTTTCCTCGAAGAAAAATATTCTAGCACGATGTCGTTCGCGGGCTTTAAGAAGCAGATCAACAAGGCAAACCAGTTTGTGAGCGAAAAGATGGGATCGGCCGAAGGAACTAAGATGGAGGACGAATTTATCGATCTGGAGCGAAAAACTGACGTGATGACAAATCTTGTGACTCAGCTACTGGGCAAAACGAAGGAGTATCTTCAGCCCAATCCAGCCGTACGAGCAAAGATTTACATGCATGTGGCCGCACAAGGGAGCAAATACCCCCAGACGGAAGGAGCTCTTGGTGATATAATGCTGAAAGCCGGCCATGATCTCGACCCACAACAATCCGACTACGCTTCGGCTTTGCTCGATGTCGGAAGTTCTCTGATCGAAGTTGCCGAAGTGAAAGATACGATGGATGCGCAAGTCCATGAGAATTTCCTAATCCCGCTCCACGAACTGGAAGAAAAGCAACTGAAAGAGATTGCAGGGCATCGGAAGAAGCTACAAGGACGGAGACTCGATTATGACTGTAAGAAGCGCAAGGGAAATAAAATCGCGGTGGAAGAAGTCAAAATGGCACAGTACAAGTTTGAAGAATCGAAAGCGATTTGCCAACAGGAGATGACCCAGTTGATGGGAAATGAAGTTGAGCGTATTCATCAGCTCAGTCAGTTGGTCTGCGCCATGTTGGAGCACCACAAGAAATCAGCCGACACCCTTGAGCGGCTACTATTGCTACTTAACAAGAGGGTACACGAAGCTTCAAGTCGCAGTGGCAGTAATCAAGCGGCAAATAAGAGTGCAGAAAATCAGGCCGTGAATCAGGGAAAGTCCGAAGCTTCCGCCAAAGGCACGAATCCTTTGGCAGACGACTCGGATTTAACTGGGAAACCGAAGGAAGAAGCAACGCCCAGTAAGCCGAGTTGCCGAGCGAAATGCGACTACCAGGCGGAGAAAGACGGAGAGCTGTCCTTCTCTAAGGGCCAGGTGATAATGCTGTCGGAGAAGCTGAATGAAGACTGGTTTGAAGGAACTTTGGAAGGAAAATTTGGGCGAATACCGGTTAAACATGTGGAAATTCTGGTCGATTTGCCTTGAACAAATTTCTCGGAGGCAGAAAGCAATCAACGCTTTTGAAACAGACTGATTTCTCAGACCCTTCAATTTCTATAATTGAAATATAGTCACTATGTGGGTTTTTTAAAAATCAAATTTAAATACGGAATGAATTTAATTTTTTTTCGCAGACGATAATCCTTTTCTGCAATTTGTTTTATTTTCGATATTTGAATGGCCGATTCTTGCAGAACTATAACAATAAATTGTTTAACGAAATTTAAACGAAAACCTACAACTACACTCAGTATCAGTTTTCTAGAGATGCACTTGAAAAAAACTGTTAACATCTTGATCGTTACAATTTTTCACTATAGGAGATAAACAACAAAATTAACATAATGAGTCTTAATTGTTTTTATATTTTCGGAAGAAAAAGGCGTTGTTTTGCGTGGTAAAATTAGACTTTTCAGAGAACGTGAATAATAAGAAACTAAAAATTTAAAATATTTGCATTACTTATAAACTGTAAACTTGCATTGTTAAGTTATGATAAACCAATTGATTGAACAATAGGAAATTAAAACATGTTTTCATTTGCAGGAGTAGATCCGTTCGCTCTATTTCCCACTCTTCGAGGGATAATGAATACGACAAAAAGAAATTTTCCTCGCGACTAACTTCCAACTTCGAAAATCAATAAAGTTAACATAGGTAATGTGCGAACGCACACTGAAAGGTAAAATGCAGTCAAACTTCCCCTAACGGCCACCTCTCTATGACAACGGCCCCTTTTTTCTTCCCGGCGGACAAAAAAATCCACACATTGAGTCTTGTTTAAAACCTGTCTACAAACGGCCACTTCCTTCTGTCCCCAAGATGGCCGTTGTAGAGAAGTTCAACTGTGAACATTTCCGAATTCAAATGAATAGCAGCTGGCTCGTACCCAAGTGCTTGTCGGGATTTTCGACGGTAGCACGGCGCAAGCATCATGTGAAAAAAAGCAAAGGCACCACAGCAGAAAGGAGCGCCTGGGTACAAATTAGAATCGACCAAAGGTAAATGAAACGATCACAGACATTGAAGAAATTTCCGAAAATAAAAAAAGGACGCCGGTGGGAAGACCTGACTGATGGCTAAAAGTCAAAAGAATCAATGCATCCAGAAATTTTCTTGTCACCCCGGTTCGGTAGAAAAACTCCTATGATCATGAGAGCAGGCTCCACATGAACTCTTCTTGAAGCAAAAGACACCAAAACACCTATTTAAAATCCACGTCCTCACTTAAATTTAACCTCTGACTTTTCTTTCCTATCAGCTGTGCCGATTTATGCGCCTTTTTTTTCACTTGGTATATTTTTGCTGATCAGATTCGTCCTGCGAAAATTCATTTGCGGTTCTTTGCACTTAGTTTAATTTAATTTAATTTAATTCAGCTCTGCTGCGGTTTTTCCTTCCCCAACGTTAAGCCTCGCATTTTTGCGAAAGTGAGTCTTAATATGTAAATCAGTATTACAATAGACCGCGAGCAGTCTCTTACTTTTCCCTGCAAGAAGAACTTAGCAACAGCCTTTAGGGGTGGGGGGGGGGGGGGCCAGGGGTTCAATTTGGAGAGGGAAAAGTACCGGGGGTTCTCTATGCCCGTTAAATTGCACCAAGCTGTCGTAATAAAAATACTACATACCATACTTAGAGTAAACACCACCGCTTCTCCTCTCTCACTTCCTTGAATAATAGGGATACAACTGGTCTAGCCTAACGCTACTTTATCGATGCGATAATCGAATACGATACGTGCGTACCGATAAATCTGTTTGAAAAGTGTGTGATGAGCGTGACTACTGTACGCTTGATTACCAGCCACGTTTTAACAAACGTTCAGCTGAACGTCAGCACGTGGATAATGTTGCAGTAGCAGTTTTTGTTTTTCTTTGAAAGATTTAACCATAATAGAGTTACAATTCGTTGAAAGGAAAACTTAAAAAGCGACCCCACCTACCTCAATTAAGCGCTCCCTTTCCTTTCTTAAAGTTCCTCTCCTGTAAGGCCAATTTTGAATAAGCACCTGTCGAGAAAATACGGTATATCGCATTTTTGTTTTGTTTTGTTTTTTAATCAAAGAATAAAACACTATTATCTCCGAAAAACGGAAGGCAAAATATTTTACACCTAAAGAACTTTAGGGAATTTCGTTCATTTTTTTTTTCGCACAAATGTGTTTGGAAGGTCCTATGTTGGTCTTACCGCGAAAGGTCCGTCCAGTTAACCTTGGGCGCTTTAAATTCAACCAAAACGTCCAGTTTGAATTTTCGACGACTTTCAGTAGCGAATGGAATAGTATTTTCCAAAATTTCCAAAAAAGAGGACAACCTCGCGAGGTATACCCAAATTTTTTCTTTCCATTTAACTTTCCTCCCTGGATTTCTAGAATTTTCGGTTGAATGGTTCACATTTCGGAAATTCAACAGTTTCTGAATAATTTCTGTACCATTTGCCGCTGTTTCCAAATTTTCGAAAGTTTTGGTTGAATGGAAAGCGCCCCTGGTCACTGATTAATGGATAAAAATCCTTTGCACACAAAAGTGCTATTATATAACACCAGCGGAAAATGGCCGTGTCAAAAGTAGTGAAAAGAACTATAAAGAGAAAGCCGGTAGGAGTTATGAATGCAAGGAAGACAGGAAGGAAGGAAGGAAAGAAAGAAGGAAAGAAGGAAGGTTGGTTAAATGGATGGACGGATAAATAGGTAGAAGAGCAAGAAATGGTAACAAAAACAATAAACAACAACAACCACATAAGCTTTATTTGTATGACTATTGTAGTTACAGTATTGCAATAGCCTGGAAAACAGTCGTTTCTCAAAGTTACAATTTATACAATGGAATGATTACAATGGTCAATCAAGTGTCATCAGTATGATTTGATAACAAATCATTACGTAAATCATTACATAATGAAACAAATTTCAACAAATGCCGGCGTGAATTTACAGAAAAATTCTGTGAATTCATCAGTTTGGTTATTAATTCTGTGCAAGAACAAAATTATGTTAGATTTGATCGTAGAATTTTTCCCTTGGGATTGAATACTTTGGACAATGCAAGAGAAAATGAAATTAACACCTTCCCAAAGACGCATAAGGAAAATCAGTTCAGTATATTTTACATAACGTGGTATCCTCTGTCAAACATTCACCGCTGCACAACAATTCAGCTGTTTCACCAAAGATGGCGGACGAAAGTGGTAAGTTTTTAATCAAAAGACATTGAATCAATTCAAAAATTATGCTTACAGTGAACATAGGCATATCATAAAAACTTAATAGTCCTCTTGCAAAGAAGTTATAGCTATTATTAAGGCGTCGATCTGGCTTTTTCGTCAAGATCTACGATACTGTCTATGCGAAATACAGCTGTTGAATGCGCTCCTTGGTCAAACATGTTATGAGGAGTTAATGTTTTTCATCCTGCCCTTCACCGATTTAGATCAGTAAGTTACTCTGTAAACCGCTGAGAGTATCAATTCTGCATCTTATCTTCCATCCTCTTTAGAAGTAGACCCTCATATATTCAGATTCCAAGATTTTGAAACATCGCCAGATTCCTTCTATGATTATTCACCAAGCCTTCGAGAAAACGCTGTCCCACTAATCATTGACAATGGTAAGTACAGCTCTACTTCTAATTTACTTGTCAATGTGTATCTAGTTTTTTTCAAAGGTATCTGCAAAATAGCAGAAAATAATGTGACTTTCATTTTGCTACAAGTTTACCCCAGATGCCATTATCACACAGACAGTACTCAAAAGACACTGGTATTATCAAAGAATTATGATCAAGACTCTTTAATAGAGCAAAGTATTGTGTTATTATATTTTTTCTAAAAAAAGTCAAGGGTAAATTCAAGAGATCTCAGTAAACACCTACAATTATTACCACACCACAGTATTGTTACAGTAACCAAATTTAGCTGAGACAAGATTAATAAGAGATATAAAGATTTGTGGACATTTCATGTCAGAAGATGTTCAAAGAAAGATTTTTAAAGACGTTCCAAAGATGTATGATGTCATTTGGAAAGTTTCAAAGTTCCCAAGAAGGCTACAGTCATGACAAACTGACCAAGGAAAATTGACGAAAATTACTTCTTCTTGGCATTCAGACTGGTGATAAATAATTTGACTGGTGATAGATCGCCTTTGCTGTCAATGGCGCAATTTGGCTGTGGGAGGTTGTCCCTTGTCATGATTTCATTTTATGCTCTGTTGCTACTTTTTGCGCCATGTCGCTTGTCGGAATTTACCCTGGCCGGACCTCTATACGGCAAGCATACATTAGGGATCAAACCATACCTCAAGTGGTCACCTACAGGAGGATAACAACAATAGAGACTTCTAAAACCATTAGATAGTACAAAAAAGGGACCATGGTTGTATACGAGAGGTGCTCATTTACAAGAGGTTTAAACTGTAGTGATTTACTGGGAAAATTTTGGTGTTTTGAATAGGTGATCACTCATGGCAGCTGGTTACTTACAAGAGGTGTTCGCTTCAAGTTTCAACTTTATTGGAGATTTTGGTCAAATCACATGGAATTTTCTTTCTTTGCACTCATTGTTTTAGCCTAATTCACTTAATAAACGTTGTCAGTTAAGGCAGTTATATTTTAGTTAAGATTTCCTGTTGGACTGAGAAACTTGGCAACAAGCGTAAGCTGGAGTGAGAAGGAAGTTACCTGCAGCTGTGAGACTTATACCTTAAACATTAAGAGTTGACAGGTTTTCAATGCTGACTCACAGTAAATATTATTTTTAATTTGGCTTTCTTTCCGTTGCTACTTAGGTGGCCACTGTTGTCGAGCTGGTTGGGCCATTGACAATAAGCCAAGACTAAACTTCAGAAACTTGGTTGCAAAAGCAAGAGGAAAGAAGGTATACATGTAAAAGATCTTTTTATGTTAAAATATTTTCTTTCTTTGTAACTGTGAAGCCAAAAGTTGTGTGAATTCTTGAACTATTAAGGAATGATTACTAGGGCACGGCAAAATGGTAAATTAGCAATTAAGACTTGAGAGAAGTTACCACCTTAAAATGTTTCAAAAACAAAATATGTAAATTAGATATAGTTACACTAATGGATAATGGATGCAAGTGTTGTCATCTCTGCAATTCATAGACACATTTGTCATACTGTAAATATTGTTAATGTCATTAATTTTTTTATACCTGCACTTATACGTAAATATTTTTTACTTTAATTTATACTTATTTATTTTGTGTCCCCTAATTAGCATAGGTTTTTAACCTAAGCTAGGAGGCTTCTTTAGACACCTTAATAAAGTTTCATCATCATCATCATCATCATTAAGACCTAAGAACAAACCACTAAAAAAATTATACTTACTCGTAACTACATTACTTGTACTGTTTATTGACGACGTATTTTGGATTGTTTTTTTTTTACTCATAAATGTTCACAATAACGTTTCAGAAAATGTTGTGATATGATTTTTGTTTTCATAGCCTATGATAATCAATTAATTTTATTGTATAGTCTAAAAGTAGGTGCCTTTCTCCGAATGTCTTTGCCTAAATTTGTTATTGTAACAGTTTATTATCAGATATTTTGCTAATTTACTAATAACATTTTTCTTTAGGATAGTGACCCTTCTGCTAATAGCGTCTGTGTAGGGAATGATATCGGCAATCTTGAGGTAGTCAGATGGGCTCTACGCAGTCAATTTGACAGAGATGTGGTCACAAACTATGAATGCCAGGTACATTAAATTTCAAGTGATGTATAACTGCTTTTTACAAAAAAATGTATCTCTCTTAATTTTTTTTTTGTTTCATATGGGAGCTTATAACCATTCAAAATACCAACAACTTTGTTTCCAGTTACGCTGTAGTTATTTATCGGCCGAGGAAGATCTTTTTTGACAAAGTTTTGGCATGGCAAGTTTAAAATGTTTAAAATAAAGAAAACTGAAGAGAGTTATCAGTCACGAGACTGATACTAAATATGGGTACATTTTAGCACACACCTTAAAGGTGGAATTGAGACCCTTTGAATGGGTATTTCTGACAAAATCAAAGTTGCGATGAGATCACCATTTATGCTGCGCATTGAGTTTTAGTTCAATTTCTGTCAATGCTAGTTGTTGCAATGACTGCAAAAATTTACCCGCTGAGGACATTTTCGGGAAAAAGTCTGTGACTCAGCGACAGAAATTCCATACTGATGATGTAAAATCTGTCCATTCAGAGAAGCGCTGATTTTTTGTTTTGCTTATTTTCTCTTTTCTGTCATCATTGTGGTTGCACTGAGCTTGCTAGTAGCATTCCTATGAATAAGTCTTTCTAGAAGAACAATTGGGTTTTTTGCTCGTACACTTTACCAAAATCAACCAGAAGACAACGCAAAATTAGGCAAATTTATAAAACCAATGATTTGATGGTAAAAATTTGCGTCATCATTATGGAACTTGAAATCAACATCTGCAGAAATATCTCAAAAGAGGCCCGGATGTTTTTCAGGCTTGAATTGCAGGTCAACATATATCCAAACCTGTAGTTGAATTTTCATTACAAACCTGTATTTGTGTTGATCGTTATTAATTAAAAATTATCATTGATGAATACATTGTACTATAAAATGAATGAATTTAATCCCTTCAGGAGCAAGTCTTTGATCACATCTTCAGTCGCCTTGGAATCAACACACTGGGAAGTGTCAACCATCCTATTGTTTTAACAGAACCAGTATGCAACCCTAACTACTGCCGACAATGTAAGTTATCACTGAAATGATAATATTATGATTTGTGTTGGAGGAGCATGTATCCAAAATAAAGCTCACAATATTTCAATCACAAGCAAGACTTTGTCAATAATATTTCAAAAAGATCCAGGCTGTCCTCTAGTTACCGGTAACCATTGAATAGTCTCTGATAATATACCTGCGTATAATGCGCACCTTAAATTTTGAATTCATTGTGAAAAAAAAAAACAAAAAGAAAAAAGAAAAAACTTCAGGCAATAGAAAGGAAAACTCTTTCTGTTCATCCTCTTGTTTTACTCTTGGTATTTACATTTAATAATTTCAAAGAATAACTCTGAATTCATGCAAAATAAAATGGCAGGTTTGGATTGCTGTTTACCAATAGAAGGAATAATGATGCTTTCCTAGTTTGTATTGTTTGCTTGGAAACCAGGCACCAGTTGTCGGGCTAACTTTTACATACCGGTATTTAATTTTTGGGACCTTATTAAAAGTAATGGCAAATTGAGAATCAACACTGGTTAAAAAATTTTAACTTTAATTTTGTAACATATATTCCTCTATAGTTCAAACAGAGTGTTATTGTGGCATATATGCATAATTCTGCAACAAGGTATTGAGTATAAAATTAAAATTTAATTTCAGCCATGTCAGAGCTTCTGTTTGAGTGCTACAATGTTCCAAGCGTGGCATATGGTATTGACAGTCTTTTCAGTTTGTACAACAACATGTCCAGTTCAGGTGAGTTAATTCAATGTTGCCATGGTAGATGTCTGTATGTAGTCATCCTTCTTTCCTCAGAGCCATGCATGGTTCATCCTCATAAGTTTTTCACCTCCATGTTTTTGTCTCAAAAGAAAAATTAGACACTGCTCATGGCCTACCATGGCCAGAAAAAGGTGGCAGTTGGTTTCAGTGATCTTCTTCAATTTTGTCCATCCATGCCTTGTTTGATGTTTGTTCATGTTTTAAGCAGTATCTTCTACTGTGAAACTCACAACACCGTGAACACCAGAAAGACTATTCTATAGAATGTTATTGTGTTGTGAGAAAATAGCCAATAAGGCATGAGATAACTTAGCCTGTGAACACAGACATATTTCTAGTTGTGGCTTCTAACCACACATTATTTTTCAGGTGCAGAGAAGCAACGACCGGAAATACGCCTGTGTTCTCAGACTAGAGATAACTAAACCGCAAGCAGTTATGGTGATTAGTTTGCGGTTTTGAGGTGTCCTGAACTTGTGATTGGTCACTATACAATCAACATTCTTGAAATTTTACAGGTGTTCACGGTTTTCTGAGTCTGACAGCATGTTTCATTCAATCTCATGGCAGTTCCCAATGTTTTTAATTTTGATAAATTATTTCATTACGCACTACAGATAAAACCACTGCTCTGGTTGTGTCTTCAAGTTGTCAAGTCAGTCATGTACTTCCAGTGGTGAATGGAAGACTGGATGCTGGCAACTGTAAAAGGTATTGAAGAATACAAAAATACCTTAGAATTCTATATAATTACCCAGAACTTCTAAAAGGTCCCATCCAGATGTCCAGGGGAAGTATGTAGATCCTGTTGCTGTGCAAAGTCAGTTTTTAAGATCACCTCTCTGATGGGTAAGGCTTCAGGCAAGTCAACCAATCATCTTGTATCTAAATTATAAGACAATTAAGCCATTGGCCATTTTCATAATGACAACATTTGACTACAACTATCAGAATTCATTTCAGTTTTGCTTTCTTATTTAGATTTGTCAATGTTGCAGAGGTTTAAACACTAATAGCCTCAGTTTGCACAAGAAAGAACAAAGAAAGAACAAACTGGAGGATTCTGGTAGTTGCTTGCCCTGAGTAAAGGACAAACTGAAATTCAAGATTTTTTCAGGAGAGGTGGGGAGGGGGATTGGATTCCTTAACCCTTTATGTAATCATTTTTAAAAAAATTGATGTAATGCTTTGGCATATCAGAATTTCACAGCTTTAAAAGTTGCACCATTTGTGGTTGAATGATGATTAATGGTCTGTACATGTAGGAATAAAAACGACATTTTTGTTAAACTAAGGTAAATTTATTTCTTTGCTTTGTGAAATAAAGGATTAACCTGGGTGGTTCCCATGCAACGTGGTTCATGCAGAGACTATTACAACTAAAATACCCACATCATGCCACTCAGATAACGCTCACTAGAGCACAGGTTAGTGCATCTTTTCATTTTTTATGGGGGAGTGAAAGTAGAAATAAGTGAAAAACATATAGCGTAAATTACTTGCATGATACGTAAGCAGTATCTTCGCCTGTATGGGGCTCATTTGGAGTCTACCATAGTGGCTAAATTTGGCTTAAGTTCATGATACAGCTCTTTTTAATAGCCTTATGGTTTTTAACATACTTTAATGACTTGTTTTGAAGGGGAATTGGAAGGCAACGTGGGCCTTAAAAGTTATTATTTTTGAACTACATCCTATGCTGTTGTTGTCATTTTTTAATAAAACAAAAAGAAAGAAAACAGGTTACGTGTTTCTGTTATTCAGTTCACTGGCTCTAAATAAGCACTGCCCTCAAATAATAGCCGTACTGACAATTCAAAGAATAGAATAAGGGAAGCTACACTATTTCAGAAGCAACAACGGAGGATTTGAGTGGGAGGAGCCTACAGTGGGTTCAACAATAGTATAGTTAAACTGCCCGTGAAGCAGCGTGGCCGAGAGCTTAATTAGAACGCTAGACGTGTAATCTGGAGGCCCCGCGTTCAAGTCCCGCCCAAGGTCAAATCCTCTGCCGCGCTTGTGAATAGCCAACTGGGCTGCATCCTACCAGTTGCGATTCTTGTCCTTGTTACATGTATGTTCCATTTGTTTTATTTGTTTCATTATCCGTGAAAAGCGGAGAACCTTTTAAGTTTTTTTCGATCTAATTGCCTACTAATCTCACTTACATGTATGTCCAGAAATCAACATTGCCACTTGTCATAGCCCCCTTTGCCATTTCATTTGAATTTTTGCTAACACTTTGGCAAATCTTCACCAAATTCGCCATTTTCGCCAAATTCACCCTATTCGTCCTAAGGCCTAGCCTGTGTTTTTTTTCTGAGGGAGGGGGAACGTCTTTACACAGGCTACCTAAGGCCCCTTCGCCAAGCCATTTGAATATTAGCCAAACTTTTACAAATTTTCGACAGATTCGTTATTTTCGCCAAAGCGTGCATTTCTTGGAATATCTTACTGTTCTTGTTGTAGGAATTAGTGCACAGTTACACAGCTATGGCGACAGATTACTCGAAGGAGCTTGAGGAGTGGGCATCATCAGATTATTATGATGATCATGTTTATAAAATTCAGCTGCCGTATGCTCAGGTGGGTGTACTATCTTGTGATAAGAGCACAATTATAGCAAAAATAGCTTAGTGGCCAAATGGCGTTTCCAGTAGCTTTCTGTTTTTTGAGGCTAGTTGGTTCGTTTTCTCGACATTAATCCCCCGGGGGTACTTTAGGAATATCTGGGTGGTGATGTGTCGCTGGGACCCTGGAACCCTTAACCTATACTAGAGCTAGTTCAGCTGAATTTTGCTACCCTATACTAGAGTAAACTCCCCAAATCCCCCCTATCCTAGAGTAGCTGTTTTCCAGAAACTACTGAGGTCACTAGCACAGTCTAGCCAAAACAAACCTTATACCACAATCCCTAGTCTACATAAAATCTTCAACCAACTGATCAGTTTTCTGAAAAATGATACCCTATTCTAAACCCAAATGCTCTGATTTATATACCCTATCCTAGAGTAAACTGCTTGACAACCATACCCTTCACAGCGGCACATACTTATATGGTCTATATATGGCAGTACCCCCCCACCGGGATTAATCCGTCCTCGTGAAAATGGTTCGTTGTGCATTTTGGACGCGTACCTTGCTACACAATTTGGCGGGTACTTTCTTTCGCGATTTTGGTGGCACAATACAGTATTTCCCGGGGTTTTACTTTTGCGATTTCAATAGGAAAAAAAAGAACAAAAGGGCATTAAATTTCGAAATTCAAGCATTTTAAACTTCATTTTACTTGAACTCTTTAAGATTTTAAGATAAGGGGCTCGTAGGAACCTAGCGATTCAGATGGAGATGATACAAATACAGATACAAATTGGAACTTACTAGTAAAAGCAGTTAATGTTTGGGGACAGTGTGTTCGTCGATACATATCCTGTTATTGTTATTACATTTTTTGTTCTGTGAGTTGAATTTTCTATATGTGTTAAATGTCGCGTGTCTAAATTTCGCGAGGATGTTTATTCGCGGGTCTTTAACTTGGCGATTTTTTTTACAATTGCGAAAAACGCCGCGAAATTACGTACCAATAGGGTAATCCGTCTGATTTAATCTGCTGTTTAGTCCGTCTATTTTGACTGATTTTAAAAGTTTCTATACGTACTTCACTAAATCCTCTTCAAAAGTAGTCATATCACCAGTGTAAAATGCGATGTTTGGAACTAAGGTGTGTATCATGCCGGGCGAATCACATAGGATAATACTTTGGCGAATTTCCTAAATAGTTGCATAGAGGAGGGAAAACTTGCCACATTTCATGCAATGTTTTCTGCACAGGTTTCCCAAGTCTCGGACTCATGACCCCGAAATCTGCTTACTATTTTTGAAGGTTAAATTTTGCCAGATAATTATAAACAATTTCGCAATAGTTGAACTGCAATGGGAGCGGGTACTGTCGAACAGTAAAACCTCAGAAATTCTAAAGCATTTCTTCTGAACAGGCTCAGGCACCTCAAACCAACGGCCCCAAGAGTGAAGAAAAGGAAAAGTTGAGAAGGCAGAAACAGGGGAGAAGACTACAAGAAATAAATGCGAGAAGAAGAGAAGAAAAGGTTGGATTTTTGTACTTGATCTTTCGCATTTATAACCCCCTTTCTCCAAAACGCGTGAGGGTTTATTTATAAAACTCTAACCTAAATGACCATGGTCTTTAGTGTGGCCGGTAAATTTTGTAACGAAATTGATAGTGAGAGGGTTTAATTGCCATTTAGATTTGTCGTAGGGTGACAAAGCAATCATCGAAACAGTGTGTTCTGAGAAAATATGTGTGGAATGGCACATTTTGATACTTTAGGACGTCCCAGATTCTTGTTTCGCGAATAAATGACCAGGAGATTTCAATGTTTAATAATTTTCTCTGCTTCGCGTTTTCTTAGTTTTCGTTTTATTGCCGAATGTGGCTTGACAAAAAGATCCGTCGATTTAGATAACAGGAAGAAAAAAATATTTCTGAACAAATCCTCACTTTTTTTCCGAACGAAATGAGAGCTTCTTAGAATGCAAACGGAAAAACGAAAGCACAAGAAAATGGTGGGAAAATCATAACCATATGGTTCTCTCTTCGCGTTTTCTTAGTTTTCGTTTTATTGCCGAATGTGGCTTGACAAAAAGATCCGTCGATTTATATAACAGGAAGAAACAAATATTTCTGAACAAATCCTCACTTTTTTTTCCGAACGAAATGAGAGCTTCTTAGAATGCAAACGGAAAAACGAAAGCACAAGAAAATGGTGGGAAAATCATAACCATATGGTTCTTTCAGCTGCTCGTGTCTCAGGCCGTAAAAGTGATGCGTCTTCCCCATTTTTTTCAGCTTGTGGAAGAAGAGGAAAGACTACAAGATCTAATGAGTATTCAGGCACTGGAACTTTCAAATAACAAGGAATTCCAGGTGAAATACTTCAGACAGTGACACTTCACGTTGATTATCTTTGAATAAGGATTCATAATGTTTTTTAAGCACTTCAGTTGAAAGAGTGCAAATGTAGGTGATTAACTTGTTGTGAGGAATTCTTAAAGGGCAGTTTTTTGTTTACAGATATCACTAACAGAGGCAGGCTTCCAGAGTTCTGAGGTAAATATCGTATTTTTCTATTCTTTAAGTTAACTTTTCAAACTTTCTGAGATCATGGTATCCAGATCGATGCCAAGGGTCGAGAAAAAATGCTTAATATCTTACTTGTTTCGTATCGATAGAATATCGATTGAAAAGCCGATGTTGGTCAAAATCTGTGAAAAGAATCACTCTGACCAATCACATTGGGCAGTGACAAACTAATGAACCAATTAACAGTTTCTATTGCAAGTAGTTGCAGCGAAACGCGGGGAAATGGGTCCGCGCCATTCGCGAGCAGTTGATTGGTTAAAAAAACAGGTGCGAGATTTTTCAGCTTGTCAGATAACATGGCGGCGAAAAAGCAAACGAATTGCAAAATTATATTCGATTCTGGAGTCCTGCTTGTATTTTTCCAAGGAATGGTTAGTGCGTTTAGTTTCGGACGATTAGTGACCACTCATATGTTTCGTTTACAGATAACCTAGGACTGAATCTAGTCAGTCTTCGAACAAATCGGCCCAGATCTGAAAATCTTTTTAATAATTCCTAAAGTGAACGCTTATACTGTATTTTTTGTTGTTGTTCACTTTTAATGACAGGCTTTGCAATCCGCCATAAAGAATCTGACGACGTCTATCCGAAAACGAAAGGAAAAGATTGTAGCCATGCAAACAGCTTTGGAACTGGACTCTGAGGTGAAAAATCAATTTAACATCATTTCCGAGTTGTTCCAAGCCTTTGTTTTGCAAAGCTAATGATATGAAAATCATTATTTATTCTCATGCAAATAAAACTGATTTACACAAAAAAGGTTTTTTGCACTTACCCTTGTTTTGAAAGTGAAAGTTTTGGAAATGGCCCATTGTAATGTTACCGAAGGCTCTTAGGACCGATGACAGAGCGATTTTCGTTTGACCTTGAAATGAAAACGCGCGAACAGAACAGAAACAACAAACGAACGGAAATAGAGCGATTTTTATTGGTTTATCGAACGGACACAAACGCGCGTGGCTTTTGGTTGGTTAAGCGAACGCTCGGGTGAAAAAACTTCATGCCCGAGAAGTTTCTAGAAATCAATTGATACTTCGCTTTGACGTCATACTGCAACACGATTGGCCAATCGAACAATGCCTTCTCTATATTAGGGTTTTCTTTGGCGGGAAAACGAAGAGTTCATGTTTTGATCTTTTCATCCATTGGCTAATAAAAAAAATAACGAACACTTACCGAAACCATTTTTTAAAGTCATACGAAAACCGTTGTAACAACTCTGACTGTTCCATTTTGCGTTCTTAGGTCAAAGAAAAAGATGAAATCATTGATGTGGTATCTGAGCAGCCGGTTGAGAGCAAAAAGAGGCAGCGGACTCCCAAAGGAGGAGCAGAGGATAAAATTGGGAAAAGGTTAAAGGAGGAGAAAAAACAAGAGTTACAACAGCAGAAGAGCCAGGAGGAAATACAAAGAGAGGAAACGTTTAAAACGTGGCTGTCGGGATTACACAGGAGACGAAAAGTGAGCTGAAGGATAACACACGTTGACAACTTGAATCATATCTAGACTAACTATGCTAAATAAAACATCTGACAGCAAGAGTCACTTTACTTACCTCTGCTGTATACCTTACGCATGCGCTGTTACATCTCAGCAACTCACAGAGCGTTTCCACATTCGCCACTTTAGAAACCAGAAGAAAACTGGGCCGCAAAGACTTCTGGGACTGTTACGAGGGACAGGGAAAAAAATTGGCCAATAGCTGACCGGCGCATCCCTAGTAACTATCCCAGAAACAATTGCGGGACATCGCGTCCGTCATATTGCTGTACCAAAACTATAAAATGGCGGCCATTGTTGTGTTCCAAACGAAACACCTGGGAGTTAAACCGTTTTTTCGCGTAAAAAACCCCTCTCTTTTGTTTCAATAAATTTCATTAGCTGCTACCCACGTAAGTGAAAACGCTTTGTTGTCACGAAGTATAAACATTAAGAGCGAATGGTTGTGTTCTCAGAATTTTTACCGCTTTTTTGTCTGTTTCAAGTCGATGTAAAAGAGATGTATAGGGGTATGTCCTTTGAGCTCCGTTTTTTTCAGGCATATGAAGACCTATTTTCTTTTATTTTTCCTTTGTCAGGAAATACTTGATGCTCGTCAGCAGCGATCCCAGAGAAGAGAAGAATTAGCAAGCAGACGGAGCCATGCCTCCTTGGAAAGAATGAGGATTTTGTCGCAGCTGGCTTATGATCCTAATGGTAGGTTACTATGACTACCAGAATAGTTTAGTCTGTGGAGTTTTTTTATCCCGTTTAGGTACATGCATATATGAGTAGATTGGACCATATAACATGAAAAAAAAGGAGGGCGAAATTCGGTAATTTGAAAATTGGATTACGAGCACGAGAATAAATAAATTGTCTGTAAAATACTGTCCACTGGTTGGCGTAGTAATTTAGACCACGTGATCTAACCGTTCCTAAATGCAGGAAGTATATTTAAAGTAGAATATGCTATAGGTAGATATTCATTCTTTTGAATAACTGCTAAGACTAAGTTAGTGGAAGTTCAAATGCACTGACATCGTTTGGTTTACCAAAAAAGGCCTAATCAACCTAGTAGTTCTTATTAGAACGCGCCTCAATTCGCATGTTTTATGTTTTGTACGATTGTGCCTTCTTTTTTGGCAGTCCCAGAGACTGTGCGTCTCTTCAGACTCCAACTGCGTAGACTGTACTTTTGAAAATAATTGCTTTCAGTTACTGAACTAAGATCACCAGCTTGTCGGTTTAGCATATCGCTGAGAAAGGACGTTGGGTCATACTGCCCCGCGTACATAAATCGCAGCATTTACATTCGCCATTTTCGCATTTCCATAATGCACCTTGTTTGCTCCCCCTCCCCCCCCAAAAAAAATTGCAGAGGAAATGTCATTAATTTCTTCTTATACGACTGTGATGCTTAGGATGAATTAAAACAAAGGTTTGGCCAAATTTGGGGGGACCAACAAGGTGTATTATGGGAAATGCGCAAATGGCGAAGGAAAATTCAGTGTCGGTATTGCATGAGTTTACCGTTGATAGTGACAGTGTCATTTTTGTAGTTCGTGACGACGGTACGACACGAAGTACGCATAAGAAACCAAAAGAAGATACATTTGGACAAAACGATGAGGACTGGATGGTGTACAGATCCATTGTGAGTCTGGAGTTTGTATGATTCGTAGTAGCACTAATTAAAGGACGTATGGGATTATATTTACTCGTTGTTTTTGACAACTCGTGAATATAACCACGTACGCCGCACTTTCTATGACGTAAACTATATGTATTTCTCAGGATACGTAACTAACGACAAACTCAACCATGCCCCCAGGCCGGGCACGAGGTTGTGACAAACGGCGGTGGACAACTGCGCTGGTAAAAGGAAAACAAGCGATGAAGGTGAAGACGACAATTCTTGATCTGCTTTTCTTGCAGAACAAAGATGCTGGTGATTCCGACAGTGAAAAAGAACAGGAAGAACTGAACGAGCTGGAGAATTTACTAAAGAAACACGATCCTGACTTTTCAAAGTAAGTCACGGGGCTAAATTAGCGATTTCCGAGTCCATTTATGGAGTTATTTACTCAGGATTTGCTACAATTTCCGTTTACGATCGTCCATTTGCACACAGAAGCCAAAGTTGTCAGTAAGTTTGTTTCCGTTTACCGGGGAACTTTCAAGTCACGTGTTCAACACATGGCAAACTGTTTTTTCGCATGGCCAACTTTTTGCTTCAGCTATCGTTAATTGTTTATGTCCACCCTAAAATACCGTAGAATTCCGAAAATAAGCCCCGGGGCCTATATTTTTCAAAGGCCCTTTTTGAGGGGCTTTTATGGAGGGAAATTTGCGTTTCAAAATCGATTGGGCTAGCTTTTATAGTTAGAGGGAAATTTGCCGTTTTTGCTTTGTTTATTTTGTATTTGAGGGCAATTTCCAAGTACAGGCCCCGGAGGGCCTATATTTGGAGGGGCAATTTAACGGAGGGTTTTTTGCGTTACGAGTTTTGAGGGCTTATATTTGGAGGGGCTTATACATGGAAGGGCTTATTTTCGGAATTTTACGGTAAGTAGTTTCATGTGTAGTCAGATTCAGCTATTTTCTCTAAATATTTTTATTATTATTATTTTCGTGTCTCTTTGCTGTTGTAGACGTTTTGGTGGCAAACCAGAATCTGCTGTTGACTGGGCGGAATATTATCAGCTCCATCTTGGTGTCGAGAGAATAAGGTAACTAGTTACGGTTGTCTCTCGTACAGCGCGAGTGGAACAGTTGCTCAGCTCCGCCTCGAGAAACCTTGAGAATTTCGGGAAACAACATTAAATATTACCCTTGGTACCAGTCATGTTAATGTCATTTTGCCAATAAACGAAAGCCTAGAATTAAAGTACTGACAAAAACGCTCGAAGCACCTTGCCCGCTCAGTTCTATCTCCTGTTAAAGTACCTGTCAATTCGGCCCCTGGGTCGAAATTGGCTTTGAAATGTTTCTTTTTGTGGTCAGAATAAGTGGTCAAGTGCCCCTATGACGTCAAATCCCCCTGAGTTACAAAAGTAAATGGTCTACCGTAAAAGATTCCAAAGCTGACGTTTCGAGGGCGAGCCTTCGTCAGAGCGAGTAAAGGGATTGTGGGTTGTGTGAGGTTAGCATATCATATCATGGACCACGCTTTTGGTTGCAACATGTTAACATGAAATACAGGCATACTGAAATACCCTGTGTTAAAGACGTTCATTGATTTCGTGGTGATTTGGGTGCCCCGTTTAAAAGGTAAATTCCTGGTTGCCTTGCTGGACCGCGGATTTTGGTGTTGTAAGAAAATTTGTCTCACTCCCCCACTGACGCAGGGCAAACTGTTTACTTATTGTTTTTGTGTTATGTTTTTTTGTCTCATTATTTTTCCCAGAGTTCCTGAGATCGTATATCAACCTTCCATGCTTGGTATTGAACAAGCCGGTATTGCAGAAACTATTGATTTTATACTTAACCACTTTTCGGCCGATTTACAAACAGCATTAGTGCAGGTACGAGTGGAATAACGAAATTTGTAACTGTTTAATGTTACTAGTTTTAAACATTGCCTATCCAGCTTAGACGTCAGCACTTCCCATTGAGTTTAGATCGTTCGTTTAACTGTTTTAGGCATTACTTTTGACTTCCGATATTCAGTTGAAAGGTGCTATTTTACGATAATTAGTTAACTGTCGTCAGTCCAAATGAAGACGATCTTAAAACATACGATCTAAGAGAGAATGAAGCACCACAGTGGATACTCCAAATTAGGTTTTCCATTGAAACGGCTTATTTTTATCACATATATATATGGCGTACGTTGCCCATTACAATATTTCACACTTAACGGTCAAATCAACGCGTAATCCTTATCACTGTAGATGGGTGCTGAATTCCACACTGAACTCCTTTCCTTACACAACTGATGCTACTTGATCCTTTCAAATTTCTCAAAATGTGTGTCCAATTAATGCAGTTCTTTGCAATGAATATTATGTTGGGGAATTGGCATGAGGTGTCCCACTGGATTTTGGAGTATCCATTCTAATCACAAAGTACGCGGCGGAGTCGGCTTCGAGCGCAAAAGGCCGCGTAACAGCACTTCCGTGAATTGGGTTCAGTATTTGGTATTTATTGGAAAAAAACGGAACTCGTTTACTTCCGGTGCGAGTGTTACTAGATTTAAAGTGCTGCCAAGAAACTAGGAACCATTAGGGTCGTGTACTGGTGCCTGCTCTATATATCTCCACTTTTCGTAGAGATAACAGTTGTGATTCGATGCTACAATCTGTACTGACTCGCATGTAATTGCCTTTCTCTTTTTTTCTTCTAGAATGTGTTTGTAACAGGAGGAAATACACAATTCCCCAACTTTCAAGAACGTCTGGAGAGAGAGCTCCTTGCTATCCGACCGTTCCAATCTACATTTAAAGTTTTCACGGCAGGTTCGTTGAATATTTTGCTTCCCTGTCAACACAATGGTAGATTAGAATGCACACAGGCAACGTTAGGTAAATGTACCTTAAAACGCTTCAGTCTTATAAAAGATATTAATTGAAAAGGGAAACTTTCAAAGTTATTTTTGTCTCCACACACATTGTCCATAACCCTGTCACGTGATCCCACCGTTTGAGACTCTAAGGATCCAAATCGTGTGTAGTGAGAATGTACTATTCATGACTATTAAGGTCTTCGACAGCTCATTTCTTTTGCTGGCAAGGGACGCCTGTGCTCAGGCTACCGTATTATATCAATAAAGCTTTTATCGTTTTGAAAATTCTCTAACCTTTTTACTCACGTTTATCCAGGTAACCCGGTACTCGATGCATGGTACGGTGCTCGTAAATGGGCAAGGACTCTCAGCAACAACCTACGGACAGTCAGTGTTACTAGGGAGGAGTATGACGACAAAGGCGGAGAATATCTCAAGGAACACTTTGCGTCAAACCTTTACGTAACTACTCCGTCCCAGTCATAGCGCACGCTCAATCCGTGAACGTCGATAAATTTTTAAAACTTAACGCATTATCAGTGAGAAAATTCACCGTGTGGCAATCATCTGTGTTACAGTATGATGCTGCAGCGCCAGTGAATTAAGCTCTAGTCTGTTGTAATTACTTACTTATGTGACTACATTGTTATATATAAAAGTAAAAAAAGGACGCTTTTTAAGAGAGAACTCGGGTCACAATCTTCGGGAATTAGAGAAGACAAAAATGAAATACTTAATGAATGCTTCGAGTTTCACCTTTGCCTGTGAGCCAGCCCTCCGTTTCGTGAGACTGAGTGAAGCAAACCACCCCATTTCTGGGCTCCCTGGGTCTGTTCGTATCCCTTCACCTCGCCCTGTCCTGACGAAAGACCTTTACTGGTTCAACATTACAGAGATTTAAAATCATGATTACTGAAAACGCTAAACGTGAATTTGTGCCACGTGACCAAGTTTTCTCTTTATTTATCGTTGACTGTTTAATAAATCTTAACAAAAATTAGTAGTTTTTTCACAGACGTTTCATCAACAAGAATTATTTTGAACAGTGTTCATCTGCTCATTTCCTATTTTGACAAATTTGACGTTCGCCGTTTGCCGTAAACGTGATTCTAAATCTCTCTATTGTCTTCAAAACGAGGGAATATGACATGATGAAACCTTGAGTATTTTTGACCTGATTGACAGACTTTCTGTTGGTGGCTTAACGGTAAAGCTCTGGTCACTTCTGCTCAAGTCCCGCGCCTCGAGTACTTTCAAAGCAATGATTAGTTTTCTTATTCGTTTGCATATCGTTTTCTAACTTGCTTATTAAACGTATACGGTAGTTTATAGAGATACGGACTCCACAATAGATGTAGTTGGTACACTTAAACCACACGTAGTAGTCTTAAACATCATTTGATGAAAGAAAAAATGTACTTTGTACATTTTTTAGCTTGTAAAACCTATCTCTGCTACAGTAGAAAACTTAAACCCAGTTCATTTGTCCCGCGCACACTGTTCGAAGCAGGGAAAACTTATCAAACGGTTTGAAGTGGAAAGGTCTTTTATAGAAAAGGGAGAACGTACGCGTCTAAAACATCTTTTCTTCTATGGCGTTACATCAGGGGTGAATTTTTCACTAAAGAAGAAAAAGCAAATGTGGACTTAAAAGGCAGCTTTCTTTTTACTCTAAAGGTTCTCATTTTTAAAAGCAGAGGCTTCACACTTAAATTTATAAATCAGAAAAAGGCGTTTGTTATAATCCTTTATGTTACATTAAAATTGACTGGCAATTTAACAGCGCTTTCCTGCTCGAATAGCGCTTTTGATAGAACTAATTGCAAATACATAAATAAGTTGTAAATACAAACAAACTCAAATACACCTGTACACAAAAATTGATGCAAAATAAACCAAGAAAAGTATTTGTACATGTCGAAATCTCTTTGAGCACGTACGGTGTGTTGTCTACGAGCAAGCCTTAACGACTCAGAGGACGAAAGGAGAAAGAGTTGAACGAAAACCTTCCACACCCATCGGAAATCCTGACAAGAAGTTTAACACGTTCATAAGTAGTATAGGGCGCACTAAACGAACCATTCTTGCCAAGGCCGTCCTTACAAGCGCACATAGGCTCCTTTATATGTTCATAAGGCTGAGCCGGGACCAGGGGGCCTGTTTCTCGAAGCTCCCGGTAATTATATGTTCAGGAAAATTATACAGTAGAGTTATTAGCTAACGAAACAAAATGGCTTATTGAACACACCCTACTTTTCTTGAGACTTTGATTCAAAAAATAGTGAGCCGGGGGACCAGGCCCCAAATTGTTCAAAAGGTGGATGATGTTATCAACTAGATAAATTTCAATGAAAATGAAGAAATGATCGTCGCAGTGAACGCAATTTATGTAATTGCGTAAAGAAGCCTGAAAAAAAATTCGTTAACATAAATTTTTATATAGTGAACGGCGCGATTGGTTTTCCCAATAATTATTCGCGGTACATTGATTTATAAGGTGCTTGAATAAAGCTATCCAACGTTTGAACAAGCGGGGCCAGGGCCCGGTTGCATAAAACGCCCGTAACAACTACGGGTATACGTACGTGCACTCGCAACTTAAGTGAGTTGCATTAAATCACTTAAGTGGTCCACTTAGGGAATTCAATTAAGTGGCTGTACTTACGATTTTCGTAAGTGTTCACTTAAGTGTCGGTTATGCAACAGAAATTGCGGGTGTTGCATAAAACCTTTTTTAGGGGAAAAATAGCACGTAAATTTACGGGACCTATGTAGGTCCCGTATCGTCACTTTTTTTACTAAAGTTAACGAGATCTTTTTCTGAGAAGTGAAAAAAAGTAATTTTTCTTCACGTAATTCGTTCTAATGCGCTGTGTTAACCTCTGATGTACACTTTAAAGCCGACGTTATGAAAAAAGAAGAAGAATTATCATTTTCAGTAGACATTGAAGAAAAATAACGATTGCATGCAAATTTCATTTTTTTTAAGGCTTAAAAGTGTTCGAAACGAATTAAAACTTTCTTTACACTCACCGATGGTTAGCTTAAAAAAAAAAAGAGTGAACCATTAATAAAGTACTACATCAAAGTTACGTGTGCCTTTAAGTGAACACGTAAGTTACCACGTAAAAGAGTAACGTACGAGAGTGCTAAGTGCGTTTCATGCAACACCCGTAAGTGTACCAATAACGGATTCGTAAGTGACCTACTTAAGTGGGCACTTAAGTGTAGGTTTTATGCAACCGGGCCCAGGCTTCAAGGATACTGAGTGAAGAGTAGTTTGCTTTAAATTAGAAAAACGATAGAAAATATTTTCTGATGGTTATTTTGATAGCGTAATACATTAAGGTTGGTGCCAGTGCAAGGTTTGCAAATCATTAATAGTACAAAACTATCTTCGTATTAGGAGTCGCAAAATCCTCAGCCGTCAAGACCTCAAAAGTTCGCAAACTGTCTACAGGCATTTTCAAAGGCAGAGTTACCTTGACATATTCTACTCGCATCCAGCAAATTCTAACGTGACGTTATCACCAACAAGCACAAACGGTGCCCAGTATTTGACTGCACCAAACTCCTCAGATTCTCTCATGTAGTTCATCGCTTGGTTTAAGGCTTCACTTGCACTTTTTCCTTTCACAAGATGTTGATAGAAATTTTTCATAAACTCAAGAGTGGCCTTGTCGTCAATCGCCCACAATGATACCAGAACAGAACGAGCACCGGCACCTAAAAACGCTCGTGCTATGCCAACCACGCCTTCTGCTTTGATCTCACCATGGGCACTATGACAACAACTGAGTACAACCAGTCTTGCACGAATCTGAACACGCTTTACATCTTTCATCGTCAAAATGAAATCCATCTCACCATTATCTGGCGCCAGGGCAATTTCACCCGTTTCCATGCTGCCATGTGCAGCGATGTGCACCAAAGCAACCGAACCGAGTCGTCTTAACACCGCATCCTTTGTGGCCTGTCTTCCAATAAGAGGTGCACAACCAAGCATTTTACCAATTATCTCAACTTCCTCTCTGGCATACGGCAACTGCTCCAGCTCTGTCACATCTTGCACCCACGGATCACCCACAAGAAGCACGCCAGACTTACAGTGGTAATCTAACGGACAATCTGCGATCATTTTCAAGCTGCTGAGAGATGGAGCCACGCGAATTCTGAATGATTCACAGAGGTATCTGGAGTTTGGACCCTTAAACGCAGCAAAAGGGGCCAAGCAAAGTGGGCCTTCGGGGACAAATATGAGTTCACTTCCAGAAAAAAGATCTTGAGTAGGATCAATGACGATCTCGTAGAACGTATTCAAAGCACTTTTTTGAAGGTGTAAGTGCTGGATTTGTCTGCAATCTTGAGGTGATCTTTTAACTGTTAGTCTTTCGTCACTTGCCAATTTAAGTGAGCGATCTTCACATTCAACGTTATCTCTTGCGCCAATTTCCTGACAGACAAGCTCCACAAGAGACTCAAAGAAAGTGCTGATTTTGTTCTGCGTACTGATCTGGTTGCTTCTTAATTCAACTTCCTTTCCTTTATGATAAACCCAGCAAACTAACTCGTTCTTTCCTAGCGCCATAAATATAGTATTCGGAGGAATGCGATTAGAGAGTTCATGAAAGGATCTGTTGCCTTTACCTGACTCAGCATCATTCAATTTCAATCCATAATTATGCGCCATAAGGTCTTTTAGACCTTGTGCCCGTCCTTGCTCAGCAGAAAACAAAGCTTCCGCAACCTTGCCTTCGGCTAACATCAAGCGCCAAAGCGCAGCGTATATTGTTTGGTATCGATCCCTTAAGCTTATTTTCCACTCGTCGTTCAGTTGAAGACGATCTCTGATATTATTTACCAAAGAAACACTAAGTTGGTAATACTCAATAGCCAATGAAAGTTGGCCTAGACATTCATAATAGTAACCAAGATTCCAACACGCTATTCCTTCTCCCAATGTCTCACCCGATTCTCTTGAAATCTGCCGTTGACGTTCAAAGTATTCTTTGGCTGTTTTAAAATCTCCAAGGCTGAGAATGTCGTTACCAAGATTGCCATAAGCCGCTCCCTCTCCCGATCTGTCACCCAATTCTTTAGCAATTTTTAGGCAACGTTCATGAAAGTTTACGGCTGCTTCCAAATCTCCTAGACTACTATGGGCGCTACCAAGATTGCCACACGCTCTTCCTTCTCCAGATTTGTCACCCAATTCTTTGGCAATTTTCAGGTCACGCTCGTAGTAGTCTATGGCTGTCTTAAAATCTCCCAGACCTCTATAAGAGTTGCCAATATTGCTATAGGCTGTCCCTTCTCCTGATCGGTTCTCCAATTCCTTCGCAATTTTCATATGCCTTTCATGGTAATATAAGGCTGTTTCAAAATCTCCCAGACTAAGACGGGCGTTGCCAAGATTGCCATACGCTCTTCCTTCTGCCAGTCTGTCACACAACTCTTTCGCAATTTTCAGGTCGCGTTCGTGGTAGTCTATAGTTTTCTTAAAATCTCCCAGACAGCGATGAGCGATGCCAAGATTTGCATACGCCGCTCCTTCTCCCGATTGGTCACCCATTTCTTTTGCAATTTTAAGATGACTATCATAGTAGTCTATGGCTGTTTTAAAATCTCCCAGGCTGCGATGGCCGATGCCAAGATTGCAATACGCTCTTCCTTCTCCAGATTTGTCACCAAGGTCTTTCGCAATTTTCAGGTGACTTTCATGGTAGTCTATGGCTGTTTTAAAATTCCCCAGACTCTGATGGGTCATGCCAAGATTGCCGTACGCTGCTGCTTCTCCCAATCTGTCACCCAAGGCTTTCGCAATTTTCAGACCACGGTCAAGGTACTCTATGGTTGTTTTAAAATCTCCTAAACAGTGATGGGCGTGGCCAAGATTGCAATATGCCACCTACTCTCCCCATCTGTCGCCCAGTTCTTTCGCAATCTTTAGGTGCCGTTGATGGTAGTGTATGGCCTTCTTGAAATCTCCTAGACTGTGGTGGGTTGTGCCAAGATTGGAATACGTAGCTCCTTCCTTCCATCTATGATTCATTTCCTGAGCAATTTTCAGGTCACTTTCATGGTACTCTATGGTTGTTTTTAAACTTGTCAGTCCGCCATGAAGGGTGATGCCAAAATTGTCATCCTTCGTGCGAGGATACTGTGAAAAAAACGCGTAAAATGTATGAACACGTCTTATGTAGCTTTTTAGTTTTGTTCAGTTTCAAATTTCTGCCTATTTCTACCCTTTTTCGACTAAAAGGTGTCTTAATGGATGCAGGGGCAACAATTTTCTAAATTGCTGAAAGAGAGAAAAAATCAACAACAGATCTTAAAGACATTTAGCAAAATTCAGTAAATATCTCACTTTAGGTCATGTTAGCTAGATGTCCTCATGTGATCATCCTGAGTTTAATCACCGACTTGTAGCATATTATTTGTTGATTCCAGCCACAGAGCCTATTATTTGAGTTCGATCACAAGAGGATTTGAATGGCTTGGCTGGTAGCCCTGAAACGACCAATTATTTCAGTGGTAACATGAACGGAATATTGGTAACTGTGAACTGTGGAATTAGAGTTTTTGATGAAAGAAAACACATTGCATTTGAGATATTGTTGCACTGCTTTAAACCCGGGGCGTATAAAATGAAACAACTACGCGACTGACAAGCGACTCGAACGACTTCATGAAAGGAGAAACATCTGCTCGCACGGTATTTAACCAGTATTAGCAACCTAAAAACAAGTAAAATCCGAGGAAAATTTATGTTAGAAATTAACCTCTGGGTCTCCGAGGATGAGAAAGGCTCTTCATGCATCGAGTATGATCTTTGTTGAGCGTGCCCTGAATGTTGCTACGATACATTTTCCAGCCCAGGACTAATAGCCGTGCGCTTGGTATTGTGGGATCAGTTACGACCATCGATTTATCAATGAACGGATGATCACATTCAAACAAGCCAGTTTGACGAGAGAAAACAAGCTTGGCTAGTCGAAAAGTAGGGCTGCGGCGACTTCAAAGACTCGACGCTATTCCGGCAAATCCTCCTTTTCCTCTCCTCGACCAGGTAGAAGACAAAGGAGGCTCTGCTTACAGGCTGGTCTTTCCATCACCAACAAACAGATTCCTTTTTGCCTGTTTCCCGGGTTTGTTCAGTTATAGATGACAGAAGGTGTCAAAATGTGGAGATCAGTGCCCCACCATTTTTTTGCTCTCAGCAGAATGGAGTTGGAAACTGGGAAATCCAAATTTCATTTCTTGAGCAAATATGCTCATTTCAAATTTTTTAAAAAAATTTCTCTTGAATTGCATTTAAACTAAGAATGATATACGCACCCGAGCGTTATATATGTATGCCTACCGTATTGACATGGGCTGCTTATTTGCAAATCCCAAAGTTGATTGGAAATAACAGACTTAGAATTTGTAAGGGTTCTCTAATTATGTGAGGGTGAACGACGGAGTTTGATTTTACGTTAATTCTTTGTACAGCTAGGCTAAGAGAGCAACTATAGGTGTCTGCTTTGCAGTCTCTTGTATAGCGAACTACGAGCTCCTTCAATTTGGCACATTCAATAGCACTGAGCCTCCACTGGTACGTAATTAAAGCATTTTTTCACCCTTACCTTTTCTCCAAGATTGTCTTTCAGCCTATTTTGTCCTCTCGCAGCCCTTTTCCGTAATTCCAACAACTTTCGGTTCTTTGGGTCAGTCTTGTAGTAGTTAAAATGTTAATTATTTGATATAAACAAGAATATTACAAGGCTACGTTTAGTGCATTGAGAGAACTTACTGCACAGCAAAGACTAATATTCAATTAAGATTGCTATTTTGTAGAATTGTGAAGAGTGGATATACCGGCAGTTTTGTTTATTTGATTGGAAACATACTGCATGAACTAGAAAAAGCAGCACCAAGTTAGATCGGGTACGGGAAAAAGACCGTTACCTGAAACAGCATTATTTAAAAGTCGAATTCTTATTAGCGTCAATCCAGGGTTAAATGTGAACAGAGCATTTGAGTAGTGATATTAACTAACGGGCTGATCATGATCGCCCTTTGAGCAATTCGATCCTAAACTCTAAAAAAGGATACTGCTAATCCCTTGTCACACCAGGTAATGGCGTCGTTAAATTTATCTAACTGAACGCAAGCACTTGCACCTGAAAAAGAAAAAACAACTGCTCAACTACAATGCATTTGGGCTAAGAAAGCAACGATAAATTGATCTATATGTGTTATCTTAAACGACAGACTGTCAGTTAACGCAAGGAAAGTTTTCAAATATTCACGCACCGGCTGATTTTCTTCGGGAAAAAAAATGTTGTCAAAGGGTATATGCAAAGTTAACCTACCCCGCACAAAAGCTTTTAGAAAAGATGGTTGCAATTCCACGGCCATTTTTGCATCATTCAGTGCTTCGGTGTAACTCCCTGCGAAAGAGATAATGCATTCAAAAACGTTACACACCCGAAACACAGAGCATAGCATGAAGATGACGAAGTAACACATCTTTTTAGTTTGTATCATGTTTTCCCATTTCAGATCATGTAACGTTACTCTGCAGAACACATTTTTTTCCGACTTTTTTGCCCTATCCAAGTGCGTATGTATACATAATTGAAAGAGCGTTTTCACATGTCGTCACGGCGGCCATATTTGCGTTCCAAAACAATGAAACAGCGGCCATGTTGTTGTCCCAAACAAATCCTGTGGTAGCTGGACTCTTTTCTTATGTATTAAAAAACGCTTTCTTTTGTTCCAATAAATTTGCATAGGTGATAGATGTTGGCCACGTGAGTGAAAACGTTCTATATTACCTATTGATATTTATGTGCCAACCAGGAGTTTCACTCGTTACACATTAGTATATCAAAAACAGTGTTTGCAAACATAACCATGTGATGTCTCCTATAGCTGACTTACCTAGCATTAAATCATCGCCGAGTACAAAACCACCACATAAAAAGTCTCAGAAAGATGTTTAAGGCAACCAATAGCAACTTCTTACCCAAATTAAAAAGTGCTGCCGCCCTGTTGCTGTACAGTTTGGCGTTCAGTTCTTTATCCTTGCAATTCACTTTAATGCCCTCTGTGTAGTAGTTAATGGCGCTGCTGAAATTCTTCCTGTTGTACTCATCGTTACCTTCATTCTTGTAAACGTCTGCAATTGCTGCAATGAAGTAATATATAATTACGTCTGCGAAATTTTTAATTTCTTTAAATTTAGAAATAAACTTTGCGTAATATTGGCTCTCGTCTGGTCTACTGTCAGCAGGGGTTGCCCGTGTAAAAAACACGGTGGTTTAAACCCCGACAAAATGTTTTTTGTAGAATTGATAAGGGCTTCATCGTATTGCTGAATGCAATTTTTCGTCCTTGATCTATGGCTTTTCCTCACCTTTTAAATTGTCATCATCAAACTGGAGAGTTTCATCAGCTGGTAATGTGACATCAGCTGCCTCTGGACTTTTCTTCATGACTGCTGTAGACTGGTGTGAGATTGCATCTTTTTTCTAGCAACTGTTACTGGAGCCTGATAAGAGAAATGGATGATTAGGTCCTCGTCCATGTGTTTGTTATTAACACGATCTGCTGTATTCGCAGACTGGTTTAGACTGCTGTAAGATAAGCCTAATATTTTCTAACAACTGTTACTTGAGACTGATAAGAGAATGGAGGATTTAGTCCAGGGCCCGGTTGCATAAAACCTACACTTAAGTGCCCACTTAAGTAGGTCACTTACGAATCCGTTATGGGTACACTTACGGGTGTTGCATGAAACGCACTTAGCACTCTCGTAAGTTACTCTTTTACGTGGTAACTTACGGGTTCACTTAAAGGCACACGTAACTTTGATGTAGTACTTTATTAATGACTCACTCTTTTTTTTTAAGCTAACCATCGGTGAGTGTAAAGAAAGTTTTCATTCGTTTCGAACACTTTTAAGCCTTAAAAAAAATGAAATTTGCATGCAATCGTTATTTTTCTTCAATGTGTACTGAAAATGATAATTCTTCTTCTTTTTTCACAATGTCGGCTTTAAAGTGTACATCAGAGGTTGACAAAGCGCATTAGAACGAATTACGTGAAGAAAAATTACTTTTTTTCACTTCTCAGAAAAAGATCTCGTTAACTTTAGTAAAAACAGTAACGATACGGGACCTACATAGGTCCCGTAAATTTACGTGCTATTTTCCCCCTAAAAAACGTTTTATGCAACACCCACAATTTCTGTTGCATAACCGACAATTAAGTGAACACTTACGAAAATCGTAAGTACAACCACTTAATTGAATTCCCTAAGTGGACCACTTAAGTGATTTAATGCAACTCACTTAAGCTGCGAGTACACGTACGTATACCCGTAGTTGTTACGGGCGTTTTATGCAACTGGGCCCAGGCCCACGTTCTCATGCACTCCGGATTCTCTCTATCCGCGCAGTTATACATTTGGGAATTAAATAACAAAAATAGTTAATCCTGAGGTTCGTCAATAAATAATACATTTCTTTTGTTTTATTTCCCTGACGGCCCATCAGCCAAGCATGAATTTCAGGATATATCGAAATTTGTCTATTATAACTGTATAATATAGAGAATACTTCATGGAACGCGTGCTGGCGGCGTACGGTATTTACGCACGAGTTGTTGACGTATCAGAAATTTTACTCGTTCGCTACGCACACTCGTTCGATTTCTGATACAAAAACAACAAGTGATTAAATACCGTACAAAGCACTTTCCATGTGGTATTGTGTTTATTATATACATACTGAGAAATTCATCATTTTGGCGGCCTTTTTATTTTAAATCTTTCAAAAATGCTAAAATTTGCCGCTACACACTTACCGCAAAATGACAACGAAAACGAAGTATCAGCGTTTTAGTAAAAACGTTTGTTATAAACATAAATGACGGTAAGGATATGAGGTAATCCAAGAACTATAAGTAATCTTAACCGTTTATTCTCAATAAACAATTAAAAATAAGTGAATTTAGGTAAAATGGCCGGTTTCAATATAAGCTTAACCTTAAATGAAAGGCAAAGTAGCTCCGACAAAAAGCACAACAAAAGCTTACGTCTCGTTCTGTTTTTCCCTTTCTGCTGTTGTTTCGCCGGCTCTCTACCGTTTTCTTTATCGACAGTGAAACAAACGAAACTATTCCACTCCATTTCCGAAATGTTTTCCCTTTTTCAGCGAGAAAAACTCTTTGAGTAAAACTTTTTTCGTTGAATGTGTGCGAAGCGGCGCTGCAATAAAAGGCGGGAATTTTGGCGCGAAACTCACACACCTCTGTGGCTTCTGATTGGATGTATCATTTTTTTCACGTGTGAAAACCATTGTTCGCTCCTCTGATTGGCTAGAACTAATTTGCGTACGAAAATTTACGACATAGCTTTTTGGTGAGTATTTCTCAGTATGTATATAATAAAGACCAATATAGGTTGTCCTCCTTTCTTTTCGGTTGTTTTATCGCAGGTTGCATTACTCAGGTCACTTTAGGCCTGACTATCTAACTGAATATGCATATTTTGATAAAATGCTATTTTGAATGGTTTGCTTCAGTGTTGTCTTTCATGTACAGCTGTTAGAAGAGAGATTTAATTTACGGCAAACGGCAAACGTCAGATTCAAGTTGAGAATTTCTGTTACAGACAAAATAACGTAAACCAACTAATTTGGGAGTAGGAGTAATGAACATTAAAGCGATTAAAGCACAGGTTAAAGGAAAACTTGGTCACGTGAACAAATTCACGTTTTCTGTTTGCCGTACACGTGAATCTAAATCCCTCTGTTATCAGAAGGAGGCATGTTTTCAAGTCTTTCGTGTCCCATATTTTCAAGCATTTAGTTATTTGTGTCGCCCTAGAATTCAGCAAATAGTTGTTTATCTTTCTGTAAGTATTATTTTGAGTTTATGTTGCTCTCCCTTCGAGGTCCTTCGAGTTCGCCTCAGTCGAAGAAGTAGTTTGACGAGTTTGCCTCCTAGTATAGTCGTTTGGTGCGTTTTTCTCGCTGTTTTGACAAGTTTGGGTCTTGTATCGCAGTACATTCACCCCTAGCGTAAATAACAATTGTCTCGCTGTAACAAGTGAGATCTAGTCTCAATTTTGTGGTCACCTTGTATCCTTAACTGTCTCGCAGTACATTCGCCTGTCTCCTAAAAAAAATTTTGCAGCCTACAATTAAAATCGCTGAATAAAGAAGTCACCCGCCATATTCTCCATAATGAAGGGACTTTTTTTTTCAAATCATTTTGTGTTCACTGATGTGAAACCAAAACAAAAATAGCCATCCGCTTTCCTTCTTATTCGATCGAGCAACCGTTGCAGTCGTTACAGAGTCAGACTCGTCCAGTAAGATAATAAAAGAAGGAAAAAATCACATACACATGATTGAATGATGACTTTTCTTCTTTACATATTTTAATAACAGCAAAGAAATCTTGCACAACTTCGTCGTCACCGTTTCCGAATGAATGTCATTCATCAAGGAGAATTGTTTCAGTTCAGATACATTTAATATTCGAAAGCTAATAACTTCCTAAACGGTTCTTTTCACGACTATCCTAATGAAATCCCCTGACAGTTACCTTCTTCTTCCCTAAACCGTTTCGCTTTCAGCTTTTCCAATAGATACTGACACACGTCACATAACAGAAAAGCATGATTACGGATCTTACCTCAGCTCTCCGATCGGCAAGATCTTTCGAGTTGTTTGCCCAGGAAACGTAAGTAATACAGTATCCCAATTTGTCCTATTGAAACCGATTGACCATTTGAAAACTTCACGAAATTTCAGAGCTTGCTTTTATCTGATCTAAGTAGATTCAACTATCAAACATTCACTCCTGAAGAAAGAAGCTCAATATCCTTAATGATCATAAATATTCCTTTTTGCAGAGAACAAAGCATGTTTACGCACCGTCGCCCTTGCACAAATCTGCGCATTTTGAAACAACTTGAAACAAGATTTAAACCATTGAACTTAAATCTAACAGTGATCACGGCTAACCAATTTGGAAGACGCTGTTTCACACACCCAAGTGATTTCATGACCTTTCATGGTGACTGAATATTGACTCACTCACTGATATCTGAGGAGCTCTGCCTCGCTCTGCACCTGGCTATGACTACAACATGAAGAAAGAAAAACACCATTTTACATTGAGAGAGCGAAGAATCCTTCAATGATTTTCTATTTTAAGTATTCAGACAAGAGCTTTGATAATGTTGCTGTTAGAGGCGAGGAGCGCATTTTTAGGCCTCTTGTAAATTCGTTGAATGAAAGTTATGCCTCAGCCTACAATTGAAACTCCCGAATAAAGAAAAGTCATCATGTTTATTCATAATGAAGTGAATTATTTTAAAATTATTAAATAAATGTCTTTACTAGCTAACAAAAATATCCATCCGCTTTCCCTACCTGAGCTAGCCTGTGAGCAGCATTTCGCATCGACTTTTTCGATGCAGATATTCAAATTCCAAGGTCTTCTAGCAAGCTCTCCTTCCTTTTCCCGCCCCGTCTACAGAGCGCCCCGGAGAGCTTGCTCGCAGACTATATTTGAACAAGTGGAGCCGCCACAGAAAATATCCATACCATACCACAGAAAACTTCCTTATTTTAACCCCCTCTTGACTTCGGAAATACCAAAATGGGTTACCCCCATGCCCTCGGAATTCCATAATCGTTAACCCCCTTCCGGCTTCCATTCAAATTTTCCACTTTTTCGACAAACCCCTCGGAATTCCGGGCAGTGTCGTAAATACGCCCAATTTCACGCTTACTTTCTGCAAAATATTTCAAATGACTCCACCTCTGTACTTCCAGAAATTCTGGAATGAAACTTTTTCAAAAAAAAATAGCTCACTTCGGAAAAGAGTGATAGCCTGGGACCCAAACTAGGCACGTTGGCATTTATGGAATTATTTGGGGGGACGCGAATGTCAGTAAACAAACATGGCGGAAAGTGAAGTGGAATGTTTCAGCGGGGTTCAAAATAGCAAAAAGGGTGCTCAAAATAGCAAAAAGGAAGGTGGAATTGAAAGAAAAAAAGCATGAAAATGTGAAGCTGAAGGAAAAAGATGGTCCAGGGTGAATTTTACCTCGAGAAACAACAGAAGAATGCAGCGTGAAACAGCTTCAAAGATGGCTTCTTTGCCGTGAAGCCAAAACAACCGCAAAGAAAGCGCAGCTCGTACAAAAATAAGTACGCGTGGACCAGGAGGTTCCTGAAATTATTTGTACACAAAAAACACAACAACTTGCACGTCTCGTCATAATCTTCAAGGTGGCTGTTCGACCTGTCCCCCCAAACAATCCCATATATGAACGCGCGCTTAGTTTGGTTCTCAGGCTATTACTCTTTTCCGAATTGAGCTGTAGAAGTTAAACCGCTGTTAAACGGATGCAACCTGCATTAACTTAACATTGTCTCAAACAGGTACAGAACCTTAAAATATAATAGAATATCTTGTGATGATTAGAGCGTTTAGTTTCGGACTATTAGTGACCATTCATATGCTCCGTTTCTTCCAACAAATCGCCAGAGATCTGAAAACCTTTTTAATAATTCCTAAGGTGAATGCTGTATTTTTTTTTCACTTTAATGACAGGCTTTTTTTCACTTTAATGACAGGCTTCACTTTAATGACAGGCTTTGCAATCCGCCATAAAGAAGCTGAAGAAAACGAAAAGAAAAGAGTGTAGCCATGCAAATAACTTTTGTATTGGATTCTGAGGTGAAAAATGAATTTAACATCAATAGCCCATTTCCGAGTTTACCCCAACCCCTGTTATCAAGCTTTTGATATGAAAATGATTTTTTATTTTCATGCAAATAAACTCATTTACACAAAAATTAAAAAGGAAAAAGCAAAGGTGGACTTAAAAGGTAGCTTTCTTTTTACTCTAAAGGTTCTCATTTTTAAAAGCAGAGACTTGACACTTAAATTCTTAAAACAGAAAGGCGTTTGTTATAAACTTTGTGTTACATTGAAACTGACTGGCAATTTAACAGCGCTTTACTACACGAATAGCGCTTTTGATAGAACTAATTGCAAAATAGATATATAACTTGTAAATACGAACAAACTCAAATACACCTGTACACAAAAATTGATGTAAAATAAACCTAGAAAAGTATTTGTACATGTCGAAACCTCTTTGAGCACATACGGTGTGTTGTCTACGAGCCTTAACTACTCAGAGGACGAAAGGAGAAAGAGTTGAACGAAAACCTTCCACACCCTTCGGAAATCCTGACAAGAAGATGAACACGTTCATAAGTAGTATAGAACGCACTAAACGAACCATTTTTGTCAAGGCCGTCCTTACAAGCGCATAAGCTCCTTATGCTCAGACTAATGCTTATGCTTGCCTCGCTAGTGAGCTGGGACCAGGCCCCAAGTTGTTCAAAAGGTGAATAATGTTATCAACTAGATAAATTTCTATCTAGTGCATGGCGCGATTGGTTTTCCTAATACTTATTCGCTGTACAGTGATTTAGAAGTTGCTTGAATAACGCTATCCAACGTTTGAACAAGCGGGGCCAGGTTTCAAAGATAAGTTCGATGTCTGACCCAACAGACGATCTTTACTTAATTCAGGTCGACCCAAGTTAGAGTTTGGCTCGTCTCGTGCAAAGTTCGACGTTTGGCTTAGGCCTAAGCCTAAAATACATCAAAGATAAATAGTTTTTCTATACAACCATAAAAACTCCATATGTGAATAATTTATGAAGTCGATATCCTCCATCGAGTGACCAACTAAAGTGGTACTTGGTTCTCCTAAGTTACTGTATGCAGATCCTTTCCTAGGCACCTACCAGGCAAAGAGAAAAACGTAACAACGAGTTTACTCTCCGGGGAACACCTCGAAATCAATAATCTATATCTAACACTCCTAGTATCGTAGTATAATGGTGAATTTGCGTGTCCCTTGTCTTACACTAGCAGAGTCTGCACAGGTGAACCAGCAAGTTTACCCAAAAAACAATTACAGTACACCTCATCCAGGGTAAAAAGTCCCATTCACAAAATATATCCTAAATAACTTATTCCCTGGCCTCAGATCATAACACTAATTTATCTGATCCGACACCTGTTATAGCAGCAAAATAAAAAAGGCGATTTTCGACATGAGAAACTTTTTTCTAAAAATAGAATGCCAGATACTATAAAAAGGCGATATTAAAGTTAAGTCCACTAAAAAACAAAAAGATGGCCTACCAAAATATAGTTTATTGAAACGCTAAGGTACTTCAGCATCGTATTTGTAAAACAATTAAAAATTAAACAGAAAAAGAGCTCAACAAAAAACCCAGAACCTATTTGGGATTAATTAGCCTTTGTTAATAAAGTAAACAAATTCACTGTTATACGTCAATTGATGTAAGCTTACCGCCATAGATTCTATTTCTTTTAATTTTTTTTAATTGTTGCTGCCTACTTAATGAGCACTGGGGTCACTCACACCTAAAGCATTTCCGTCCCTAGAGCAGTAGCGTCATTAATGAAGCCGAGTTGCTCTGAGGATAAGAATGAACGCAAAGTATTTACAGTTTTTGTCAGCTGAGACTTTCAATATGGATTCACAAGGATTATATTTAATCGACAGTCTGAAAGTTTTTCCAGTCTGATAGAATTCTGAAACATTTTAGTGTAAAATTGATTGCTTTTTATGCATGCTAGAACAGAGATTTGACAAAAGTTGCAGCAACGATCAAAGTAATCAATTCACTAACAGAATCTAATGGGTTACGCTTGAGCTGGTTTTTATTTAATGTCTCTAGATCTCAGAAAAACTAAGACCAACGATTTTTTTTCAGTCGCCAATATGTTTTTAGTAAGAGTAATGCTTCCTAAATTCCCATCAAGTGAAAAGCAGGAGGCACGGCATGCAGGGTAACACTTCTATACGCACTTTCCTTTCTATCTAAATACCGAAATGAATATTCCTAAAGAGAGCACCGACTACTGTGTGTAATTATAAATTTAAAATAAATACTGTACAAAACCATCTCCGGAAATATAGACTTACCTAGAATTAAAGGAAATTTATTCACATAAAGCGAATTCTAATGTGACGTCATCACCAATGAGCACAAACGGTGCCCAGTACTTGACTGCGCCAAACTCCTCAGATTCTCTCATGCAGCTCATTGCTTGATTTAAGGCTTCACCCGCACTTTTGCCTTTTACAAGATGCTGATAGAAATTTCTCATGAACTCAAGAGTGGCCTTATCATCAACTGCCCACAAAGACACGAGAACAGAACGAGCACCGGCTCCCAAAAATGCCCTTGCTATGCCTACTACACCTTCTGCTTTGATCTCTCCTTGAGCACTATGACAACAATTGAGTACAACCAGTCTTGCACGCATCTGAACACGCAGTACGTCCTTCATTGTCAACATGAAATCCTTCTCACCATTATTTGGTGCCAAGGCAATTTCGCCTGCTTTCATGCTGCCATGTGCAGCAATGTGCACCAAAGCAACCGAACCGAGTCGTCTTAATACCTCATCCTTTGTGGCTTGTCTTCCAATAAGAGGTGTACAGTCAAGAATTCTACCAATCATCTCTACCTCCTCTCTGGCATGTGGCAATCCTGGTAGTTTTGTCACATCTTGTACCCACGGGTCACCCACAAGAAGCGCGCCAGACATGACGTGGTAATCTACCGGGCAATCGGCAATTATTTTCAAGCTGGTAAGAGATGGAGCTATGCGAATTCTGAATGATTCACAGAGGTATTTGGAGTTTGGACCCTTCAATGCAGCAAAAGGAGCCAACAAGAGTGGGCCTTCGGGTACGAATAGGATTTCACTTCCCCAAAAGAGATCTTGAATAGGATCAATGATTACGTCGGACAAAGTATTCAAAGAATTGTTTAAGTTCTGGAATTGACTGCCATCACTAGTTGATCTTTTAACTTCCAGTCTTTCATGTCTTTTATCATTCAGCAATTCAAGTGAGCGATCTTCACACTCCACATAATCTCTTGCACCAATTTCCTGACAGACAAGCTCCACAAGAGACTCAAAGAAAGAGCTAATTTTCCCCTCTGAATCTATTGGGTTTATTCTTAATTCAAGGGCCGTTCCTTCCTGACAAACCCAAAAAATTAATTCGTTCTCTCCAAGTGCCATAAATATCGTATTCGTGGGAAAGTGACTGGACACTTCATTAAAGGTTCTCATGTCTCCTTCATCTGACTCAGCGTCATTCACTTCCAATCCATAATTTAATGCCATAAGGTCCTTAAGACCCTGTGCCCGTCCATGCTCGGCAGAAATCAAAGCTTCTGTAATCTTGCCCTCTCCTAACAACAAGCGCCAGAGTGCAGCGTATGTTGTCTGGTACTGATCGCGTAGGCTTACTTTCCAGTCGTCGTTAACATGAAGACGATCTCTGATATTATTTAACAAAGTAATACTGCGCTGGAAATATCCAATAGCTACCGAAACTTGGCCAAGACATTCAAAACCTCGACCAAGATTCGAGCATGCTACTGCTTCTCCCGATCTGTCACCCAAGTCTTTCGCAATTTCTAGATGACGTTTAAAGTAGCCAACGGCTGTTTCAAAATCTCCCCGACTGTTATTGCTGCAGCCAAGATTACCATACGCCAGTCCTTCGTCTGACCTGTCCCCCAATTCTATCGCAATTTTTAGATTACGTTCAAGGTAATCAATGGCTTTTTCAAAATCTCCCAGTCCGTGATAGGCAGTGCCAAGATTGCCATACGCTTTTCCTTCTCCCGATCTGTCACCCAGTTCCTTTGCAATTTTTAGGTGACATTCATGGCATTCTATGGCTCTTTCAAAGTCTCTCAGCTTCTCATGGACACCGCCAAGATTCCCATACGCCATTCCCTGTCCCGATCTGTCTTTTAATTTTTTCGCAATTTTTAGATCAAGTTTATGGTAATCTCTTGCTTTTTCAAAATTTCCCAGACTGCGATGGGCATTGCCAAGATTGCCATACGCTTTTCCTTCAACTGATCTGTTTCCCAATTCTTTCGCAACTTTTAGACCACGCTCAGTGTAGTCTATGGATATTTTAAAGTTTCCCATACTGTGATGGACAATGCCAAGTCTGCAATACTCATTTCTTTCTCCCGATCTGTCACCCAATTCTTTCGCAATTCCTAGAGCACGTTCATGGTACTCTACGGCTGTTTTAAAATTTCCCAGACTGTGATGGGTAAGACCAAGATTGCCACATGCTTCTCCTTCTACAAATCTGTTTCCCAGTTCTTTCGCAACTCTTAGACCACGTTCAAGGTAGTCTATGGATATTTTAAAGTTTCCCATACATTGATGGACAATGCCAAGTCTGCAATACTCAAATCCTTCTCCCGATCTGTCACCCAATTCTTTCGCAATTCTTAGAGCACGTTCATGGTACTCTATGGCTGTTTTAAAATTTCCCAGATTGTGATAGGTAATGCCAAGATTACCATACGCCTTTCCCTCTTCCGCTCTGTCGCCCATGTCTTTCGCAATTTTCAGATGACATTCATTGTAATAATGGGCTGTTTTAAAGTTCCCCAGGCTTCGATTCGCGTGACTAAGATTGGCGTACGCTATTCGTTCTCCCAATCTGTCACCCAATTCTTTCATAATTTTGAGACCACGTTCATTGAAGTCTATGGCTGTCTTAAGGTCTCCTAAATAGCAATTAGTGTCACCAAGATAACAATAAGCAAATCCTTCCTGCAATCTGTAATCCAGTTCTTTCGCTGTTTTTAGTTTGCGTTCATAGTAGTCTTTGGCTGTTTTAAAATCTCTCAGTCCTTGATGAGATTTTCCAAGAAAGCCATATGCCTTTCCTTCTCCTGACCTGTCGCCCAGTTCTTTCGAAATTTTTAGATAACGTTCATGGTAATCTATGGCTGTTTTAAGATCTCCCAGGCTGCCAAGGTCAATGCCAAGATTGCCATACGCCTTTCCTTCACCCGATCTGTCACTCAATTCTTTTGCAATTTTTAAATTACGTTCGTGGTAGTCTATTGCTGTTTTAAAATCTCCCATATTCTGATAGGCGTTTCCAAGAGAGGCATACACCTTTCCTTCACCCGATCTGTCACCCAGTTCTTTCGCAATTTTTAAATTACATTCGTGGTAGTCTATTGCTGTTTTCAAATCTCCCATATTCTGATAAGCGTTTCCAAGAGAGGCATACGCCTTTCCTTCTCCTGATATGTCGCCCAGTTCTTTTGCAATTTTTAGAGCACGTTCATGGTAGTCTATGGCTTTTTTAATATCCCCTAGACTGAAAAAAGCGTTGCCAAGATTGTCATACACCCATCCTTCTCCGGATTTGTCTCCAAGTTTTTTGCAAATTTTTAGATAATGTTCAAAGTTGTCAAGAGTGTTTTTTTTAAAATCGTCCAGAGTGTCATGGGCGTTGAGAAGATTGCCATACGCCTTTCTTTCTTCCGACCTGTGTACAGAGTTGTCAATTTTGCCACAAGTGCTAAGGTCGCCTGCTGTGAACTTCGCCTTCGCACAAGTTTGCTATACAAAAAAATAACATACAATGCAGTTGATGATGTGTACATTATAATTTCTAGAATTTCAAACTAAAATTTTTTGAGCAGTCAAAATAGGAGAGCTTATTGGAAATGGTTGCACCAAGATAGAGAAGCTGGCTATGATATTATTCAGGTAAGTAGTAATAAATTAGTAAAATCCAACTAGTGGTTTATTATCAATGCTGCGTTCCGACTGGTTGAGCTACTACTAGGCTATATGTTATAGGCCACTAGTAGCCAAGAGCGCCGGCTTTGAAAACCTAATAATGGCTGCTGAATCGCTTTTTGTTAGCTAAAGTTGTTTTGTCTCGATATTTTTGAGCAACTAGTTGCATTTTACTAAAACAATTATTCCTCTCGCCCTCATGGCCTCTGAGTGAATAGCCCATTCAGCCTTCGGCCTCATGGGCTATTGACTCAGAGCCCATTCGGGCTGGAGGAATAATTGTTAAATAATACCGGTTTCTGAATTACCAAGTGATAATCAAGGGATAGTAATTCACATTTGAGGAAAAATCCACTGACTGAACATTTCACAATGGGAAGACGTAAAAATCGTAGTGACGTTTATTTTTCTCAATCATGTTTATTATAAACACCAAAAGATATTAGATTAAACTATTCTCATTTTTTTATTTATGATTTTTCAAGTAATTTATATGAAAAAGCAGCATATGAACCTTATTGGTTTTTATACATGGCATACCTCGCAAATTTGCTACGAAAAACTTGGATGCAAAAAATAAAGCCAATGAATAAAAATGAGTTATTCCAACGGAATTTTAAACTTTACGAGTGAAAATACAGAGATTGTTGTAAAAGGAGGAGGTTTTAATTTAACAAACAAGACGCTACGGAGCGTACACTTCGGCGTCGTGGTTGTGAAACTAATTAATTGTAAATGCGGAGGAATAGTAAGAAATCAAATATGGTAAGAGTAAGGTGTTAACTTGTGAAATTATGGGATTTGTCAGGATATTCTGAAAAGAGCAACATCCAAGAGGCCTACTTGCCAAAAACTAGCATTTCGGAACAAATTGTCTCCGAGGTATTAGCCCAGTTATGCTCTGATGACTCCATACAAATCCTTTTAAAAAAACAATTCTCTATTTTTCTTAGTCACATCAGGCTTCAAAACAGCATAATAGTCTCATGTACTGATTAAAGATATGTAAGGCATGGGTAAGGAGTCAATTACGTTGAGCATGGAATTGGCTAAAACTCAAAGTCACGAGTTCGAATGTTTTGAGGATAATTATTCACTGACTATCAGCCCGCAGGGATGTCGGATTAACACAAGGAAGTTTAACACCAAAGGAACATAGCCTTTACAGAGCTTTAGAACACAGCATCCACCAACACAAACTTGACTTGAACTTTGGGTAAAACTAAACAGCCTCTACTAATAATAACAAACTCTCACTTGAACTTCAGATATCTTACGGCTTCCACAAACTTGTAAACACAGAACCTGAAAATCGACCTTCGTCACACTTGACTAAACACAGCAGTCCAGCTCGTGGGAAAAAACTTAGTTCGTCAAAAGAACTCGCTTGGAACTTGTATACCGTTTGACATAAGGTTCTAGAAAATACTAAACAGGCGAATAGTAGTAGCTTTTCGACATATTTTATGATTTCAGTAACTGATGCAAATCTGCTGACTCATGCTGAAATGAAAACATGCCCTAATTAATTATTCATGGATAATCCAAAAACGTAGAGAACGTTCGAGAAAGTCACGCAACGCATGAAAGCAATTTTACTACGTAACACTCAACAAAGACAAAATGTCTTTGTGCAGCATTTTGTAACTTTAAATTCATCATAAAACAGTTCGAAAGGAGGGCTCACTCGTGAAATGTTTTCCAACACTCGAAGAGAAATTTCGTGTCTCTGCGCGGCTACGAAATATCCTCTATTTATTCCTCGAGTAATTAAAGACTAAACTCGAAGTGATCTCAAGATATCACGAGGTAGTCCAGTCTCATTTCGTGAAATAGTTGAAACAAGCCGAAAAGTCACGAACTTGCACACCCAATCTTGTCCCGAGACTAGTGCATAATTTTATGACTATTTTTCATATCCCAAACTACCTTGGGTCGCAGTAGCGCAATCGACTAATCCCTCAACTTACAGCCTGCTCTGATCTGATGGGTCACACAGGTGAGTCAGTTCAAACCCCGGAGAAGCCAAAATAATAATTGTTTCTTCCTGGAAAAAGTTAAAGAATAAATCAAAGAAATCCAAGTGCTCTCGAGATATCTCGAACTAATTCGGCTCTCACTTCGTCAAATAGCCGAATAGAACCGAAACCTACAGATTTTGCTTGCCCAATCTTGTCAAAAAATGGCAACTTTAATACATTCCTGAGCGTCGCGAATCCTTTACTTCGCAAAATGGAAATTATGACATTGATGATAAAAATCTGATAAATGTTGCTGAAGGTTCTGATTTCAGTGATGCAATTACAAAACATGATAATAATCAAGATATTGACCTTAAAGGTAGCGACATTGTTATGGGTAGCAAAAACATTTAACAGCAAATCGAAATAAAGAGAATGTTCGTGATGTATTTGTAAGTAGAAACGAATCTGTTTTTCCAATGGAAAAATATTTGGATATGGGAAAAAACTTTATTTATACTGTCAAAACTCCAACAAATGGAGACCATTATCTGTAAATAAAGATAATGGTAAATGACATTAATTTTAAAAAATTCAGATATTAATATGAATAGTAAAAGTATTTCAAATATTGGTAAAATAACTTTTTTCAACCAAGTACTTGATGACAACATTGTCAGTATCAATTTTGTATCCAAAAAGTTTCCATATGTTACAAAACATGTTAATAGGAAAAATAGTTACCTCCGAAATTTAAAATCGCTTTCATAATCTTCTGATAGAACAAATAAGCCATATGTTGACAATGAGGAGGGATTCAGGGGATCGAATTATGTTAAAACAGATGGAACTGCCACAATGGTTGGCTCAGTTAAGATATAAATGATAATCGAATAACTAGTCTGTCATTTCACCCATTTCAAGTGTTGACGCCGACAACAAAAAATTACTGATGTAGATAAAAGAATAAAAAAGTCACAGGTCAAACAATATCACCATGCTAAAAATGTATTTCAGTATCTTATGAATGATGTTGGTGAATGGTGTACAGAATATGTTGTTGTTCTAAACATTCATGTTTGAAATATTTCACCTCATAACTGGGATAAAAAAGGTATTTATACGTATCACCAGTTAAAAGATCACGAAGTTATATGTGGAGAGTTCACTTGGTTTGCAATGCTTTCGTTTAGCAACAAATCAGACATATAAAGTAGTGATAGAGCATTACAAAAATGATTTGTTAACATTAACAAAACAGGCAGATATTAGCTTTAATGGAACAGGTGTAACAGTATGTATTGAATGTCAGAGCACAAAAAAGGTATAAATACAGCACAGGAAAATTCCTATATTACACAGACATTGGTTCAATTCATAAAGACAAGTGGAAGTGCGCCAGTGTTTGTGTGTTTTACTCTACATTACGAGCATCAGGGAAGGTACTTGGATGATAACCCAGATGTATTTACTCGAAAAGTGTTACTAAATAGTTGCGTATGGAGTAGATGGGATAACTGAGCTCAAAAAGCCTTAAGTATTGTTTTAAAACAGAACAGCCACGTTTAAATAGCCGAGAGAAACATCTGCTTCTCTAACCAGCTACTGTATCGATACTATAGAGTGAGATGAGCTCTCCAAGTTAAGACATCCGACAAAGCAAATTCCATAATAAGCGCACTGAAGCAACGTAATTTAAAAGGACGGGTTCACGGTTCAGCGCCTGCTCATTAATTAAATTACTTTTTTCCTATCTATTATTTATTCTATCGGTTAATAATCCCACACATGTATCTCGGCTATCTCAGAGTGTATTTCAAAGTAGACTTGTATTTCAGAGTAACCTGAAGTAGGATGGAGGAGTACTAAAATCGCAGAAAAAATAAGTGGATCTTTAAAATATGCCAACACTATCAACGTTGAATTTATCGTTGACCCAAGGGTGGTATTCCACGTTTGATGAATTTACAGCTATTTGCACACAAGTCGATCAAGTGACCGCCGAGGGAGTGTGCAAATTCGTTCTTTGACAACATTATGACATGATCATATTGCTTGCATAGACGATACAGTATCTCCTAGCAGCGTGCGCCGAACGATGAAACCTTCCCTTTAAGTCCTTTTTTATCATACTTACCTCTTCTCCGTGATTTTCTTCCAGTTTTTTCTGTTCTGTTACAGAGTTGCCCCGTAATTCCAACAACTTCTGGTTGTTCTGGTCGATCTTGTATAAATAAGTTTACTTGTTAAAAGTTTTAACAACTTGTCAAGTTTCTGACTTAAAAAAATGCGAACTTAAGATAAATCATCTTGGGTCTTAACGTTAAGTTTATAGGAAATTCCGTTGTACAAAGTGTGGAACGTGAAAACGTTTAAAAGAAAGTCTGTGGATGCTAGTAGTTTAGAAGAATTTGCATTAGAAAAGGCGGGACGGTCGTTGATAAGCTGATTAACACAAAGTTAACACACTAAACGGATTTACTAAATTTTTATATAGTGTTTAGCATGGCAAAGATGTATGCATTGAAAATAATTTAAGGGGTATTGAACATTAAAAGACCATACATACACCCCTAGGGAAGGGGAATTTTTTAAAAAAGTATTATTCACTTGTAATTTATATATTTTTCCCTTAATTTATATGTAAAAAAGGCAAGTCGAGCAAATAAACAATGAAAATCGTTGCCTTCATTCAACTACCTCTCAAGGGTAAGCAAGGGGCATATTTTTACCTCGGCTTTTTTACAAATAAGCAGACTGTAATGCTAAAGAATGATATGTTTCAGTCAACGATGAATTATACTGAAAATTTTGGCAATAGGCTTTTTTTTCTAGCCCGGTTGTTTTGAAACGCGAGTCGATCGAAACATATTGAATTTCAACCGTGTTTTTGACTCGCGAAATCGACGGCGGGACTTAAAACGGTTTCCTTCGTATTTCTAGGAAACGAACAGATCTACCGGAGGGAGGGGGGGGGTGACTGGGCTTGGAAGTTGACGGAGCCATAAGTGTGTTTGTTTCATTGTCACGAGTTTGCATACAAACATCCTATTGATGTATTTAGACGTGCATGTGGGTCTACACTAGATATATTTCAACATTGAGCAGAAGAATAAAGAAAGTTTGTGAAGAAATAATATCTACATTATTAAAAGATACTGCTAATCCTTTATCACACCATGTGATGGCTTCACTGAACATCTTCAACCGAACACAGGCACTTGCTCCTGCACAGAAAAAAACAAACATACGACTCAAACTCAACACATTTGGCCTGTACATGCTACTCTAAATATGTTGATTGGTTTTTCTTCCTGATGAGGAAGGAATAAACCTCACCATAAGAAAATTTCGGGAAATAAGGAGTGGTGCGCTGAACAAAAAAACAACAACAACAACAATGGCCTCATTAACGTAACTCACTCTTGGGGCAAAAGGATCAGAGAGTCTCTTTACGTACAGTGTCGTAAATAAAACCGAACGATTCAACGTACTTGATCTCATTCTGATCAAGGTATGAATAAGGATATCATTAACAAGCCCTTAAGCTGATGAGAGCAGTTTTAGTAGACGAGTTTTAACATACCCTGTCTTGCGTTGAAGTACATTTCGCAAAGATATTTGGGAAAACCAAATCAGTAATGCCGGTTAGAAAACAAATATTGGTGATAGGCCCATTATGTAATCGACATACCTCGCACAAAAGCTTTTACAAAGGATGGTTGCACTTCGGTGGCCGTTTTTGCATCATTCAGTGCTTCGGTGTAATTCCCTGAGAAAAAATGATTTACACTGTCAAACTGCCACGGTTTAGTTGACTCGCTAACTTACTTTGACCTGTAACGTTTTAACTATATGTCTTACAAAGTGGCCTGTTAGTATCTGTTCTCGAGTTGTGTCTGGTTGCTCCAAAAATTTTAAAACATTTCATAAAGCTCAAACCAGTTGTGGAATTGCACAAACTCTCGCCTGGGATTCTACTGATGAACAGCTACTACAATTACATATTAGAAGCAGCAGTTTTTTGTGGTCTGACAACTTTTCTAAAGCAGAGCATTCTACAAAGCGTAAGTAGTAACGGCTTACACGTACAGTGATCACTTGACAAAACCGTTTCCAGTTGCAGAGCCACTAATTTAAAAAGTCTTTAAAGAGCTACTGATAACATCACCATGACTAACTTTAAAGGCAACTTCTTACCCAAATTAAAGTGCGCTGCTGCCCTGTTGCTGTACAGTTTGGCATTCAGTTCTTTATCCTTGCAGTTCACTTTAATTCCCTCTGTGTAGTAGCTAATGGCACCGTTGAAATTTTTCTTGCTGTACTCATCGTTACCCTCATTCTTGTTCACCTCTGCAATTGCTACGGCAGTAAATTGTAATTATTATGGTGATTTTTAAAAGTGCTTGAAAAACCCGACGTGATCATCATTTACTCTTTCCAACCAGGGTTTCCCATAGTATAATTATATCAGACCCCACACATGACAAAATGCATCTGCGAATGGGTAAGGTCTTCAATCTAACCAAATGCAACTTTTCTATTGTTGGAATTATATCATGTAAAAAAAAAATGGAATTTTCTCCTCACCTCGTAAAGTTTCAGCATCAAACTGAAGTCTTTCCGCATCAGCGGCTGGTGTGACGTCACCTGCCTCTAAACTCTGTCTCTCCATGAATGCGTTTAACATTGATGTAAGATTGGTTCCTCTTTTCAAAGAGCCATCACTGGGACCTAAAAAGAGAAATGGAGGATTGCGTAAACATTTTTTTATGAAAAATATTTACACGATTCTTTTTATCTACGTATTTATCAGAGCCAAATACTGGTATAACAGTGTCTCCACTTAATTTTGGGTAATTTTAGCACTGGCTTGTGCTGCACAATCTTAGTTGATAGCAGGCCAACCAAACAGCGAAACCTTCTTTTATCTACTTTTCTGCAAATATTCAAATAATAACTTTCATTTTTCCGTTTCTCCGCTCATTTGCAGATCACAGATGACGTCAAAAATATGGTAAGAACAAAAAAATGAGGCGAGTGTTTCACGAAAGTCGTTATCGCATTTTGACTCCTTTTGTGAGTCTATGACTGAACGGAGACACAAGTTTTTTTTAGAGAAACGACGTGCTTGCTTAGTAGCGCTCGACTGATGGAAATTTTTTCTCCAATTTATCTACTAAACTATTGAAAATACTGAGTTCCAATAATGACGTAATGTTAATGAAGCAAAAGATTTTATGCTGATTTAATGAACTGTGTCCATGCCAAGAGAATTTACTTCACTGTAATTTAAGCTCCAATAAAAAGTCTCTTTTTTAAAAAATATAGTTTATTTAAAGGTAACCGTCGGGGTGGACCGCTTCCTTCAATTAATTATTCCTTACTAGTTTTGAATTCGTCTGTTGGGTTTAAGTTCTCAGTTTCGTCGAATAGAGAGAAGTGTGATGTCACGTTACCAAGGAAGCAAAATTTCTGGATCTCAACAGTTTTCTTGACACATCTAGGAAAGATCGAAGCGACTCTGCTAGAAGGATAATTAGAAGGCCGAACTGCATCAAACTCTTTCGTTCCAAAGCGGCCGGAGTTCCATCTTGTTCGATTGAGTTCGAAAACCGAAAGTTCAAAGTGATACGCCTGGATGTCAACACTTCAGAAAGAGGCACGACTGTACGGATCTTACCTCAGCTTAGCTGCTGTTCCAAATTGATTTTCCAGGCGATACGCATAAATACAATGTCAGTTTAGAAGTGAAGGTATTGCTTTATATTTTGAAACCTATTGGCTAGCTGAAATGTTATATGTCATTCAGTCCTTTTACGAAACAGAAGAGCTTGATTTCCCACTCATCTATATTAGCGACAGGAAACTGAACGGTCATAAATATGTAATTAGGGTTTTTTTCCCTTTTCCGAGAACAAAGACCGTTCTAGGGTTCTTGTAAAATGAGGAGCGGATGGCAATGGAGCGTTCACAATTGAAGTCAAATTTCGCTCTAATCCTGGGTTATCTTAATCCTGTTTTCAACAACCGCGCCCTAGTCAGTTAAAAACTTTTCAATAAACGAAATTTCGTTTCGCTTACACGAAATTTTAGTTCGTCAAACCGAAATATCGCTTAACACGAACCGAAATTTAGTTAATGACGCCAAATTTAAGGAAGCTTTGTCGAAATTTTGCAACGACATTTCGGTTTATTGCGCAAACTTGCGTTTCGATTTATCACCTAGCTTCCGAAATTTCGCAGGGAGTAGAAAAATAGATGCGCCGAAATTTCGCCGAATTTTCGTCTGAAACGAAAGTTCGCAATTTGTTAGCCGAAATTCGCGAATTTCGCCGAATTTCGGCAAAGTTCGGTCTCATTTCTTTGGCACAGCAGGCCTGTAGCCAGGTTTTTTTACGGGAGGTGCGATCCAAGGAGGAGGAGGACCAAACGAGACCAGAGGAGCAAGTCTCTGGGGTTGGGTGGGAGGGGGGGTAGTGAATTAGGGTCTGAGTCCCTGAGACTGTATTGCGAACGTTTTGCCGGAAAACATGGATATTTCTCAAAATCTGAAACTTCAAAATTGGTTTTATATTCGCAAGGAGACAACATTTTTATTATCTGTTAGACGATAGATGTGCATAAGAGCCAGTGAAGAGAGCCTCTTTTGTGCCGCGAGTATTACTTTTTGGCACAGAAAATAGAAGATATTTTAAACTACGAACAAAGACAGCGGGCTACTCAAAAAACCAACAACGCTTATCTTCATCTCCTTCAAGCACAAGTGGATCCGAGATCCACCCTTTGTAATTGACTGTTAAACAGACAATTCGAAAACAAGAATTCCCAATCCCTGAAACGGCCTGATAAATGCGTCAAGTCAGAAACGGTTGTACCGCTGTCGCCACAAAACGAAAACAAAGTTAAAAGTAATGTTTCTCCCCTGGCTGGCAACTGTCACGACAATAACTGCAAATGGAGGAATAATAACATCATCGGGCTCCAGTCTTCACAGGGGCACCCAACAAGAATATAGTTTAAAACCACTTAAATTAAACATAGCATTGTTGAACGTATTTTTAATTAGTGTCTACATGGTAGATATAGGCATATGTTTATCCCCTAAAATGTTTCATCTGTTCGGAATCCCTAGCTGAAGGTCTAGTGATCCGAAAATTATAGGGATCAAAACTTACCTTTACGAAAATTTCAGCGAGAAAAAAAAAAAGCTCCCGAAAATTCTAGGTGACCTTTTTAGGGTAAAAATCCGTTAAAATGGGCAATTATACCATTTTTAGATGTTCGAAAATCCTAGGAGACTGAGAGGCAAGCAAGAAATTTTACAAAAATGTTCCGAAAATTCCAGATCTTAAGAGCCAATGTCTGTAATTTTCGAGAATCGGTTGACAGTCGTGAATTTTTGAATTTCTTCATATTTTGCTCAAATAATCTCTATAGTACACTAATTTCAAAAATCACGTTAAAACTTGTATCAGCTTTTTATTTTTTTTTCAGGAATCAGGCAAAGTTTGAGAAACTCTAAATCGGCGCTCTTTCGAGTATGAAATGAGCGAAAATGGAGCATTTTCTTCGCGCTCGTACATAAAAACAGAATAATATCTCTACATGAAATCAAGTCACAAAACAGACACATATTTTTACTTTATAATTCAGCAGTTAACTTTAAATAAACCGTTTAAATGTGACTGTACCGGCCCGAAGAAGAAACACGGTTTCAGCACTTTTCAAAAATGGCAAATTTGACCTAACTTCACCATCGTAAAAACCCAGTTGGTACACGGAATTTCAATACGAAACAAGAACTGTATTGAAGCATATCCTTTGCTGTTGTTTGTGTTAAAATGTTTCTGGCGGCATTCCAAATGCGCACCGTCGAGAGACCAAAACCTGAAGGGTATTTTGACACCAGGAAAGCGAGTGCAACAAGCAAGTTTCAACGCTTGGCATATTAATCCTTCGCAAACCTAAGTTACTTCGACATTTAAATCCTAGTCAGAGTTGTAACGGTTTCAGATTATATTTCGGCGTTTCTGTTCGGTTTAACATGATTCCTTTCAACTGATTTTTGCGATAAACCATAATGAAGAGACGAATACGCAGTTCAAATCACAGTTAGTAGAGGGGAATATTGTCGAAATACCCGCTTGCTATAGTTTTAATCGTATTGAAACCTTAATATCAGAAAAGTCATTTACTTACCTGAATTTGAATGCTAGACGAGGTCACAGTACCGCTAACTAAATTCTGCATCACGGCAGAATCGAAGTTAAGTTTGTATATGTTTTCAATCTGTCAACACGAGGGAAGATGACATTCCGGAAGTACGTGACGCGTAACGCGCCGGAAAAGAAATTCCTGGTATAAGTGTTTTACGGTTCAAGTCTTTGCAGGGGCGGATCCAGGGGGAGGGTGCAGGGGGTGCGCACCCCCCCTGGGATGACTTGCGGCCGCTTTCTAATTAACATGATTAACACTGTGCAGTCGCTTGACAGACATACAAAATCTGCTCTATCGTTTGATGTGTATTCTCAGCAGTTCACATTATGTTATGTCCTAGTCAAAAGCCCTCTTCTTCGTATTCGCTTTTAAAATTTTTTACGTCTTCAATCAGTTAGTGGTGCACCCCTCCTAAGAAAAAATCCTGGATCCGCCCCTGCTTTGTTGCTTGTTCGTATACCATCTCGCACATATTCAAACTTGGTTTGTGGCGCCTGTGGCCCCAGTAATGCTGAATGTATTGCGATCATAGAAAAGATGTCGTGAGTCACTCCTGACTTGTTAGTCACGTGAGTATGTAAGGCAATAACCAAACATCGACCCGACCATGCTAATGATAAAAGTAAGGTTTTCTGCATTTACGTTAGGTGATCTTTGTTTGATCCACAAAATTGGCGCATGAAAATATGAGTTTTTCCTCACCACCTCTAACTGTTTGGTTCCGGGTAGCGGTGCATCAAATCACGTGGTACCGTTCTAGATCAACCTACTGGCTGCTCATAGAGGGGTCCATAAAGGCACATTGATTGATGACTCTGTATGGCCTGAACTGAAAATGATATACGCAGACGTTTTCTGAGCGACGAATGTGCAGCTTTTACACTCCTCTTCCTTTCGAAAATAGACAAGCACGCGAGCGAAGCGAGCGCGCGAGACAGAGCCCCTTGCTCTACTGGTCAATAAATCCCCGCGGCTTTTATTTTCATACGCAAAATCGACGATCTCCAAAGGGAAAATAGATCGACGATCTCTAATGAAAAAAATAGAGGGTCTGTGAACAGGCTACGAAGGTGCTTGCTATTATTTTAGTGAACTTTACAAGAGGTCTCAGGTGATTATGCTAACGTCATGAAAAGTCTACTTTAGGGAAGG